TTTTTTTTTTTCCTTTTCCTCTTTCTTTTTTTTTTTATCTGCTCGCGTCCATCTGCTTTTACACAGGGTAGGTCTCCGGCAGCGTCAGATTGTTATAAAAGAACTGGACAGGAGATAAAGGAGGCGTAGCTCTGGAACTGAGCATATCACTCTTCATTCTTGGGATGAGGCTGAACGAGTCTCCTTTTTCTTATAATTCCATCTCGCGCCCGTAAAAGTCGAAATTAAGAATCCTGCGAGGAATTTTCTGTCGAGGAAGATTTGTCAAAGGATCCCGCAGCAGTCACGCAGTCACCAATAATTGTGATATGATCCATATTCTCACCATGATTCGGTCGTCGTTTCGACTATTTCCGGAATCATACCCAACTATGCCGCCACTTTTCCCCGCGATGTCTCTGTTTGATTGTGATATGGATGTACACAAACCGAGGAGGGGGCATAAAAGGCTACGCAGAGACCGTGTCCTTCTTTATCCCCTGCAAGCCACGCCCATCATGTATAGCGAGACACCCAAAGTCCCCGAAATCCAGGATGCAGACAAGCCCGAACAGGTCGTCGAAGCAGAAGTGGCAATTCATCCTCCCCCCGCTGGTGTCGAACGGGCCGAGAAGGTACAGGCAAAGACATGGCTTGCCATCATCTGTCTCGGAGCCACGTATGGGTGCTGTCAGGGCATCAATTTGATCCCCCTCAACGTGGTCAATGTGATCCAAGCCGATCTGGGGAACCCGTTCCTCGCCAGCTGGATCGGTACGGGCTATTCGATTACCCTGGTAGTCGGGATCCTGGTTGCCAACTCTCTCGCTGAGTAGGGGACCTCGGGTCCTTTTGAGCTGTATCATCTGGGTACTGACCTGGTTTAGTCTTCTCGGTCGTCGTTGGTTCATCATATGTGGTGGTATTCTGACTGCCGTCGGTAACATTGTTGGTGCAACCGTAAGCAGGACATCTTCCGTGGTCGTCGCTACTTCGATCCTAGGGTTCGCCCAAGGAGGCGTCACCTGTACCATGTATAGCTGACTCTTCTACCGTGCCCTCGAAGGTGCTAATCAGACGACAGTCCCGCCGCCAGCGAGCTCATCCCCAAGAAATACAGAGGCTATGTGGTCGGGCTCATGAACCTGTGTCTGGGTATCTGGTCCATGTCTGGTAACTTAGTCGGTGCGTGGGCATCTCTACATGTCTCGATCCTTGTGCAGGAGCAGCTGATGATGAGAGCGACGACGATATAGGCCATTATCTTGCCGTGCATACAGGCCCGGGATGGTGATCGGTCTTCTGGATGTCGCTCGCCATCAACGCGGCCGCCACGCTGGGCGTCTGCTTCACCTACTTTCCTGCACCTCCCCTAGCATCTTTTCGAGCCACGGGACAAACGTTCCTCAAAGCCATGGACTGGATCGGCCTCTTTGCCATCGTCACGTTCCAGGTTCTGGTCTCGCTGGGAATCACTTGGATCACCACGTACGGAGCCACATCGGCGCGCTTTCTGGCGGTCAGTCTTCGCAGTCCCGTTGATCTCCCATGCGCAGCACAGACTAACCTCAACAGCCGTTCCTCGTGGGGATTGCCGTCGCCGTAGCTCTGGGCTTCCACCAGGCCTATCTGGCCAAGAACCCGTTCTTACATCCATTCCTCTTCCGCCGGGTTCGTACCTTTACCATGATGTGCGTCATCGCCTTGGTGGGAGGCATGCTCTTCTACTCGTTGTCCGTCTTCTTCTCCACTTACCTCAAGCTTCTGTTCGACGGGGACGATCAGGTCAAGATCGGCGTTGACAGTAAGATACTTTCCTCAACTCCCTCGATACTTCAGAGCTGAGAATCATAACTTTGTCACACAGACCTCCCCATGGCCGTCCTGATCAACATTGGCGGCGTTAGCAGCGCGCTCACTCTGCCGATCCTGGGTCCTCTCGTTGGCACTCGCGTGATGATGGTCGATGGGGTCTTGTTCCAAGTCCTGTTCATCCCTCTGATGTGTCTTGTCGAAGTCCACGGCCGTTCCATGGCCCTGGCCTTCTCCGCCCTGGGCGGGTTCGGTATCGGAATCATGGATACCCTAACAATCCTGTTGATCCAATATGCCTCCCCGGACGAGTACCTGTGAGTATTCATCAACAGGGCCTTGATACGCGCGTGTAGCGACAACTGACGTGTTGCAAGGGGCTTTGCCTACGGTATTCTTGGTCTGTGTCGAGGCATTGGCGGATCCGCAGGCACCGCCATCTACGTGACCATCTTCTCGAGCAAGTCTGCAACTCTGGTGCCCGAGAGGGTGTCCGCCGCTGCCGCGGCGGCCGGTCTCCCGCAAAGCTCCCTCGCCCGGCTGCTGGGGATCCTCACCGGAGTGGTGAGAGAGCCCATCACGTCCGTGCCGGGCATCAACGCGCAGATTATCGCCGCGTCGACGCTGGCCCTGAAAAAGGCATATCTGGCTTCGTTCAAATACGTCTGGCTGACCAGCATTCCGTTTGGGGTTATTTCGCTACTGTGCGCCCTCGCGACGAAGGATGTGAGTAACGATAAACATTTCTCATTGGAGAGGTGTTGTGGTTGTGCTACGGAATATATATGCTAATCTATTTCGTCTGCTGTAGGTGTCGGACCAGTTGACCAATGAGACGCCGCAGCATCTAGTCAATGTTGCTCAGTCGGGAGATGATGAAAAGATAGTAAGTGCTTGACTGATTGCAATTGCTTCGGGGAGTGGAGGAGAGGAGGCGAGGCTCAAGAAATGCACTGGGGGGAGGGAGGCGTGATCCTGGGAGCCTCGTGAAATGCCAGGCACAATGAAGTCGGAGAGGGGCCGTTCGTTCTAGAGAGAGCCATGCAATGACTTCACTTCCGCAGTGGCTAAGTCAGTTGGTGGAATTACAACAATTCAAATAGCTTTTGGCGTGACGGTCGAGCAAGTGATGGCTAGTCTACCAGCCAGGAAGTCAGCCACTGACTGCTATTGATGCTGCCTTGCAACTCGACACCATTCCTTACTCATTACTGTAGCTTCCAAGTCGATATCAACAATCCACAAGCCACAATTCACACCTCTCGGTTCATATAAAGAAATTCAATACACTCCCCACCCCTCGCGCGACGGGATTCGACTCCGACAAGCGCAGGCGCAAGCGCAAATCTAGTAGTGCACAATGCCCTGCTCGCGGATCCTTACCCTCCAGATCCCCTGGACGCCCGTGACGAGAATCTCCCCCTTCGGGAGAAACACCAGATTATTAAACACTTCACCGGCGGCCGTGATCTTGCCGAGCAGGTCGCCCTCGGGGGTGACGACGTCGATCCCCGACCCGGCCGCCGCGTACAGGTTGCCCGCCTCGCTGACTTTGAGGCCGTCGGCGAAGTACGTGTCGGGGACGTAGACGGTGCGCTTGTTCACGAGGGTGTGCGGGTAGAGGACGTCGAAGGCGACGATGGCGTGGTTCTCGGTGCTGTTGTCCGGGCCGAGCGGCGTGCTAGTGATGTACAGCGTCTGGTTGTCGGGCGAGAAGGCGATCCCGTTGGGCCAGAGGATGCTTTGGTCGACGACCGACACGGCCCCCGAGGTCATGTTGAAGCAGTAGATCGAGGGGGCGAGTTCGGGCGGGTTGTCGTATGTCCAGGCGAGGTAGCTGAATCTGTTGTTTGGGTCGGTTAGCATCAGACACTCGAGAGACCTGGAGGTACAGGAGGTACGGGGGGATGTTGGAGAGATACTTTGGTGTCAATGGGTTCGAGTGTTGAATGACCTACGGTGCATCTACAAACCACACCTGTCCGAACTGGTCAACCACCAAGTCGTCCGGGGTCGACAGCTTCAACCCCCGGTAGTTGTTGAGCAGCGGCTCACTCCTGTTTGTGGCCGGGTCGTACAGGTACAGACCCGGGGGCGTCGAGTTGCGGTACCCATCCGTCCCCACGACCAGCTTGCCCTCATGGATGAAGCCGCCATTGACCGACTCCAGCGGCGGATCCGTGGTGAGGTTCTGCAGCGCCGGCGGCTCCACGCTCAAGTCGACCAGGTACTCGTACGTGTGGTTGAAGTTGGACACGAAGACTTTATTCTGCGCGGGCAGAAAATTGGGGGCTTCGTGGACATTGTGCTCGGGGAGATCGAAGAGTTTCTCGAGGGTGGGATTGGGGCCCAGGATGTCGAAGAAGCGGCTGTCAAAGGCGACAAAGGATGCTTTGGCCAGGACGGACAGCTCGCTGTTGACTCGGGGACTGGCGGTCACGGTGCCCCATACCTGCGCTTTGTATCGAGGAGTTTGTTCAGATATACTGTATGATAGACTAACGCAGTCCAAGCGGTGGTGTCTGGGCCCAACTTACACATTTGACCGCGCTCGAAATAGAACGGAAGCGTCGCCAGGGCCTTTTGATTCACAAAGACAACCTCGGTCGAGTTGTAGTTGATGCCCGCTGGCAATGGGTTGAGCAGCGACGCCACGGCAGGCAACGCCGCAGTCTGGATGCCTCTGAGCGGCTTCATGGCGATCCTGTGCTACTCGAACTGCAGGTTCGGGCTGTGCACGAGATGAGTCAAGGCAAAGACTTGTCTAACTGCCTCGTGAAAGGTTGAGAGCGACCAGAGTAGCTTCGTCTGTCTCTCCACTGGACACGCTGGTGATGCTTGTTCGGAATTTCGCAACAAAAACGACGCCCTCGGAACCTCAGCCAAGTGGAAGCAAATCATCTCTGTGCTCGATCATTGGGACATTGGTCTCATGGTCTAAATGGCCAATAAATGTTGTGACACTATTTCTTGAAAGTCAATGTACTGTACATTGTACCTGTGACTTTGCGTATCATACAACAAAGTATACAAGGAACGACTCACTTCCAATCTCCTCTGCGGTATTTCCTCAACCAAAACCCACAGCACAGATGGGAGCACGACGCACAACCTCGATCCCCGAGGAGGAACAACCTCTATTGAGCGACAATGCCACAGCCATCCCGCCAACTTCATTACCACCAGCGGAGGAAGCGACCAAGACCGAGCAAGACGAGGTCAGTGGCGTGCGTCTGTACGTGACCATCGGAAGCCTATGGCTTGCGGTCTTCTTCGCCGCCATGGGTATGGATACGACTTGAGACCTGTGTCAAAGCCTGCTTTATTGACAACTCTACGAGATTCGTCCATGATGGCAACTCTCACCACCCCCGTTGCCAACGAGTTCCACACCTTCTCCCTCCTGTCGTGGGTGGCTTCGTCCTATCTCATCGCCACCGCCGCCGTGCAGCCCCTGACAGGCCGATTGACCGAGATCTTTGGCAGAAAGGACGGCGTTCTCTACTGTATCGTCTTCTTCGGTCTGGGCAATCTCATCTGTGGCATCGCAAACAATACCGGGACGCTCATCGCGGGGCGTGTGGTCGCTGGTGCCGGGGGTGGCGGTCTGTTCGCCATCCAGACCATGGTGGTCACTGACCTTGTCCCGCTTCGCAAACGCGGCGTATGGCAGGGCATTGGCAATATCGTGTTCGGCGGAGGAAGTTGTCTTGGAGGAGTGTTCGGAGGCTGGATCAACCAGACGCTGGGTTGGCGACCGGCATTTCTGATCCAGGTGCCCTTCGTCGTCGTCTCGGCATTCATCGTGGCCATATACGTCCAGCTGCCGTCACCGCCACAAAGCGACAAGAACAAGTTGGCCCGGGTTGATTTCCCCGGCGCCGTCACGCTGGTCGGATCGCTGGTCCTCCTGCTCTTCGGGCTCAACAGCGGCGGGAACCTCGTGCCCTGGAATCACCCACTGGTGCTGACCACGCTGCCGCTCTCGGCGGTGCTGCTGATGGCATTCCTCGTCATCGAGGAGAAATGGGCCGCGGAGCCACTCATCCTGGTCCGTCTCTTCCTGAATCGCACCGTCACCGCGGCGTGTCTGTCCAACTGGTTCGAGATGATGTCCCTGTACGGCATGTTCTTCTACATCCCCATCTACTTCCGCCTGAGGGGCCTCAACTCGAGCCAGCAGGGCTCGGAGCTGATCAGCCAGGGCACCGGACTCCTGGTCGGTTCGTTGGTGGCCGGCTTCGCGGTGAAGCGGACGGGGAGATACTTCCACCTCAACTGGATGTTCATCGGGTTCTATGTGGGCGCGTCGGTCCTGCTGTGTCTGCTCGACATGGCATTCCCCCTGTGGGTGGCGCCCGTGTGCCTCGCCATGTTCGGCTTTGGGTACGGCGGCATGTTTGTCATCTCGCTGCTGGCCCTGATTGCCGCGATCGACCACTCGGAGCAGGCCATTGCGACGTCGGCGTCGTATATATTCCGCTCCACCGGGTCGACGATTGGAGTGACCATCACCTCTGCGGTAAACCATTTTCCCAATTACCACCGCACATGGGAACCGATCTAACTGACCTCTCCTTGACACTTCTAGGTCTTTCAAAACGTCCTCAAGGCCTCTCTGTGGAGTCGCTTCGGGGACGAACCCGACGCGGCGACCATCATCGGCCGGATAAGAAACGACCTCGACCTGGATCTGGTTCCGCACAGTTGGCGCCACGGCGTCGAGGAGAGTTACATGGGTGCTCTCCGCTCAGTGTGGTTCACGATCCTGGCTCTGACGGTGCTCGCGTCACTCACCAGCCTGGCCATGAAGGAGTATAAACTGTACAATACGATTTCGCGGCGAGAGGAGGAGCAGCAGCAGTAGCAGCAGTGACAGACCGAGGAGGGAGGGGGGCGCGTCAAAAGCACTGATTGATTTGTCTGACGTACATAGTTTCTGCCTCTGCAATATTTACTGTGAACCTACGAGGTACATACACTCAACCCCTACAGAGCGAGTAGTCCACTACGCACGAAATGTCCCTAGCACCAGTAATAAACAAATCCCATATCCAGTTCATAGACCTGTTTCTGTGCAGACACTGGATTCCTGTGCCATCCATCTCTATGCTACAATCTCACTGTGGCTGACTTAACCACCCTTGCCGAGTCCGAGAAGCCAATCGGAAATAAGATAAAAAAGTGCCCCCTTTGAGTTACCGGAATTAGTCGTACCTCGTATACATAATACATACCTTGTCCCAATACAAAATAGAGTTAAATTCCAGCGCGACTTCAACTGCTCTTACCTACAAGTACATGTACTTTACTCTATTCGGACTGGTCACTTGCAGCTCCGGGACTTGATTGGGCCTCCCACGGCCCCCATCCACTTGTAGTGCTATGTTCTAGACCCACATGTCGAGTCTGACGACGAGAGTCTCAAAACTCCGAAAAAGGTTGAACCAAAATAAAAAAAAGGCCTCGACTCTACGAGACAGCGACCACCACCCCACGCCCCTCTTTTCACTCCGCGATTCTCAGCTCAACTTATCCCAGTCTGTGTCGATGGGACCTTGTTTGTCGTCCTCCACGATTGTCGGGTTCCCCGTGGGGTGCTTGACTGGGACTGGGACTGAGACTGGGACTGGACTGGGCTGGGCACGGCACAGTACAGTTGGACGGGGGATCCTCCATTGATTCCAGTCCCCCTATTTCCTTCGCCGTGTAATCTAGGCTCCCGTCATCCCTAGAGTTCTAGGAATTCGTCTGTAAGGAGATAACGAGACGGGACGGGACAAGTCTTGTAAAGCTCCGCATTTAAAAAAGCTGATCATGTCCTAAAGTCCTGGCCACAGGTTAGATGGGCCCTCCTCCCTCCCTTTCCTCTACCAAATCACCACTGCCTGTAACATCCTACCAAAAAGTCTCATGGAATCTGTTCAAGAAACACCACCACCCCATCGTTGGGCGGAGAAATCTCGAGAGGAGCAGCAGATCGAGGTCGTCAAGCACGGCGGCAGCCCCGGCGCGAGCGACGTGGAAAGCGCCGACAGCGAGGAGAAGGAAACCATCTTCTGGGATGCCAGCACCTGGATCAACGTGGCCGCTCTGGTCACGGCGTACGTCTCCAGCACCTATGCGGCGACGGTGCCGACCGGGGCCATCGCCTACATCATCGCGAACTGGCCGGCCGAGGCGGGCAGCTCGCCCTGGATCGCGACGGCGCTGACCCTCGTCGTGACGGTCATCGTGCTGCCGCTGGGCGAGTTCATCGACATCTTCGGGAGGAAGTGGCCGTTCATCCTCTCGTGCGTCGCCGGCATCATGGGATCCATCATCACCTCGCGAGCCAACAGCCTGCAGATGGTGATTGTCGGGCAGGCGTTCAACGGCGTCGGACTCGCGGCCGGTTATCTGATCCAGCCGGTCCTGTACGAGATTGTCCCCAAGAGACACCGACCCCTGACGGGCGCCATCACCGGCATCTTCTGCGGCGGTGCCTTTATCCTGGCCCCGATCATCGAAGGGATCGTCATCAAGAAAGAAATCGGAGGCCCGCTCGAGGGCTGGAGGGCCGGCATCTACGTCAGTGCCGGTCTGTATGGCCTGGGCATGATCGCCTTGATGGTGGGATACTCGCCGTCCCCACGCACGCTGGGCATCAACCTGTCCACCAGCCAACGCCTGAAGAAGATGGACTGGATCGCCATCTTGCTCCTGATGACCGGCCTCACCATGTTCTTTGTCGGCATGGGCATCGGCGACGTGCTGTACCCCTGGAACTCGGCCGCGCCCATCTGTCTCCTCGTCATCGGCTTCGTGCTCATCCTGGGCGCGTCCTTCAAAATGTACAAGAACAAGGACGGCCTCTTGCCCCACAGCCTCTTCACCCACCGCAACTTCGCGCTCAGTCTCGTCGTGCGAGCCACCGGCTCCTTTGCCCAGCTGGGCTGTCAGGCGTACCTCCCCCAGGTCATCGTCTACCTGTTCGAGTCCGACGGACTCCTTCAAGCCGTGTGGGCGCTGCCGTTCTCGGTCGCCAACATTGGAGGAGCCATCGTCACCGCCGGGGTGTTTTGGTACACCAAAGAAGGACGTTGGCTGGCCGTCGTCGCCATGGGGACGCTCGCCATCGGCGCGGGCACCATGACCCTGGTCAAGCCGACCTGGTCGTTTGTGCAGTTCATGTGGCCGCCCCTGATCATCGGTCTCTCGGTCGGGACGGAGGCGCAGGTGCTCAACATCATTGCCGCGCTGGCGACACCGGACGAGTACGTCGCGACCACGGTGGCCGCGACGACCCTGTTCGCCTGCGCCGGCTCCACCATCGGCATCACCATCTTCGGCCAGATCTTTAACGCCAAGAGGAAGAAGTACCTGCCGCTGTACGTGACCGAGGCCGTCCTCGCCGCGGGCCTCCCGCAGGCGAGCCTCGAGAGATTCTTGACCGCCATGGCCACGGCCAGCGACGCCTCGGCCTACGCCGACATTCCCGGCGTGACCCCCGCGGTGCTCAGCGCCCTGCAGGTCTCGACCAAGGACGCCTACGCCAAGAGCTTCACCTACATCTGGTACGCGCTGCTCGCCTTTGCACTGGTGACCATGGCCATCGCCTGCTTCTTCAAGACCACCAAGCCGCAGATGACGGCCAAAGTCTCCTCGCCGGTCCAGGAGACAGTCATTGCCAAGATGGCGCACCACGTCCACCATGGGAAGAGGGGCGATGATGGACATGGGCATGGACATGGAAATGGACATGAGTATCCACATGAAGGCGAAGGAGGACCTAAATAGGTTAGCAAGCGGCATCTCAAGGTTAGGAGGATGACCAGGGGCGAATATATGTAGTCTCAACCACTCCCACATGTGACACGCTGTGCTCTGGGTCGGTAGGCAGGTAGTTTTCTACATGCCTCGAAAATGCAAAGCCTCAAAAATACGTGTCTGAAAAGTGATTGCGATCCGCCATGCTATCCTCACCGACTTGCCCAAATTCCCTCTCGCTCGACCGTCACAGACCATGAGTATCTGGAACACGGTTGAGGTTATCCAATCATCCCAGAGGAACGAGACGTAGCCAGGCATCCCGGATTCACGGAGAGGAGGAAAGAAAAGAAGGAAGGAAACAATGAAAGGTTGCGTGCAAGACAGGTAGTACTCATTAATTGGTTGGTTGATCGTAAGAAAACTCAGAAGAGAAAGGTGTCGTCAAGTAGCTAGTCATCAAGGTCGTGAATTCCTGGAAAAGTCATGTCTCCTTCTATCTTGTCGTTGTCGTCCGGCTTATTCCCTAGTCGGTTTCGTCATTGTCATCAACATCGTCGCCATCGTCCTCATCGTCTTCACGGCCGCCATCATTGAAGTTCGGATATCGAGTTGAAGACCGTCGTCGTCTCCATCACTCTCGACGTAGCCATCACCAGTGATGACTTCTTCGCTGTCGACTTGATTATCGCCCTCTCCCTCCTCAAATTCCGAAATGTCTCCAAGCCCATTCAAGCAAGAAGAGGTGCAAACGTGCTTTTCCTCATCCGTCCGTTTGTCCAAATAGGGATTCTTCCCAAATAGCTTGATGTCATCAGCTGCGTGCTTGCGTATCAAGTCTGCAATAGCATGTTTGCCAGTATGCTTTGCATAAAAGATTGCGCCTTTATATCCACTAATGCCCAGGCAAGCACTCAGAGCCCCTGCGTTCAGCAGAAATTTGACTGTGTCCATCCGTCCATATCGTGCGGCACAATCCAGGGCAGTTTGGGTAATTCGATCCTGCCCCATGTAAGAGAGAGTGTTCACTCGAGCTCGATGAGTAAGTAGCAAGATGACAATCTCGAGATCTCCGCACATCACAGCAGCTTGTAATGCTGTCACCCCGAAATCGTCATCTGAGGGTGGGGCATTGACGTTTGCTCCCTGCGCGATCAAAAACTTGACGAGGTTCAGTTTGATCTTGATCTCTGCCATAGAGATAGCATCCCAACCGCATGCGGCTTGTAGTGCTGTTTTCCCTAAAACACCACGAGCAGGCTGGTTGATGTCAGCACCTTTGCTCAAAAGTAAGGCCACTAGTTCTTGATCTCCACGGCTGGCCGCTGCTTGTAGAGGGGTGTAGAATATGCTCTCGGATGAGTACCTATCAATGGGAGCGCCCGCATCCAAAACTTTGCATATCAGATCCTTTGTACCACCCCAATAGATGAGAAGAGCCAATGGTGACCCAGGGCGGACATGTGCTCCACGCTCAAAGAGTAACTTGAAGACTTCCAAGCCTTCGCTGGAATTTCCATCCGACCCCCCGTACTTGAGACAACTCTCTAACAGTCTAGCATCAGCAGCCGAGCTTTCGTGGAGATTGATCCCCGAGTTGAGAAAGAGTTCGATCAGTGGTCTTCGAGATGAGAACTCAACAGCATGTTTCAAAAATGGGAAAGGGCTCTGATCGCTGGTCTTGTGGCGTAACTTTACTCCCATCTGTATCAGGTAGTCGACCATTTCGAGTGATGGCTTGGGGGTTTTGTGTCGAGAGAGCCAATCATTCCAGTATGAGGTTGGGAACATGAGAAAGAAATTCTCTTCTAAAGTGGCGGCGATCACAGTCGTGTCTTCTGGGAAAGCATCTGCGCTGACTCCAGCATTGATGTCTACTCCCTGATGCAATAGCCATGAAACTGCCTCAAAATTATTCAGGCGAGCGGCCGCGCACAATGCATCAGCACCTTGACTTGCAAAGTCGACTCCCAGGTCAGCAAGCTTCTCGAGCAAGCCAACACCTCGTGGTGTCACAGAGGCAATGAGAGTTTCAGAATGCACGACCGCCCCTTTCTGAATAAGGGAACTGAAGAGAGCACCCAAGTCGTTGGTCGACCTGTCATCCGCAGAGCCCAAGATTGCTCGGAACAGCAGATAAGACATATCTCTGATGGCACCGAATGGTAGCCTCATATCTGCAACGACGTTCACGAGACTCTGGACAATATCGGCTGCAATGTGAGAATCGTGGATAACAAACTGCTCCAATAGCACTAATTGTAGAAATTCGTTTGTCGAGCGTGTGCTTTCTCCCGGGCTTCCCTTCAGGTATTTTTGTAAGGAGGCTGCACCGTGCCTTGCAGCAAGACAAGAACCGAACCTTGTGACCTCGCTTGATAGGGACATCGCGCTGTAGGGCTCAAGTCTCTTGAACAAGTCTGAATTCCAGTAATAGCTGCCTTCTACAATCGTAGGTCGCCAGCTCTTGTGGACGTCATCATACCAATCCAGGCCATTGTATTCAGCGCCCAACACCCAGCGTGTGGGTGTGGGCATTGGTAAGTCGACATTGGCCCCAAGTGCGAGAAACATGTCTAAAACCTGACTGACAAAGTGATCTTCGAGGCTGAGATTGTCAACATCCTCACCATGCCAGAGGCTTGCAACAAATATGGCAAAGCAGGACCCCCGTGCACGGTCGAGTTCGCGATTGACGTCGCAAGACCCGAGCAAGAGCGCAACACAATTGAGGTTTCGAGCTCTAATGGCGCCCATGATGGCAGTTTTAGGGATTTTATGCCAGCCCCATATGGAGTCGAAGGGATCATCAGGACGGTACCCTGCTCTCAACAGATGTCGCACAATGTCCAAACAATCAAATGCAGCGGCGGCGATGAGATAGAAGTGGCCGTTTGAAGGAATCCAGTCGGGGTATCTGAGACCAATATGCATCAGGAGAATGAATGCATTCTTGTCATTCACATTCCAGGACTGCCGGACTAGTTGTTCCCATGCGGCTCTGACTGTGGGAATCCTCGACTCTAGCAGAGCAGAGAGAACTGATCTTGGAACCCTCTTAAACAGAACCTCAAAAATTTCCCCTTGTCTAGGGTCGCCAGGCCTATCGCGCAAGAGTTCATTCGAGAGGATATAGAGTGCATATCCAAGGAAGTGATATACGTCAAAGTGGGAATCGAGAGCCGAATCATTATAGCCCGTTCGAGAAAACTTCAACTGAGAAAAGGGTTGCAAAGCCTACCAGAGTTACGAGTCAGCTCTCAGCTTCTGAAGGTAAATACTTGTATCCTCACATGAGAGTGGGCTTTCTCCCTGGCCAGGGGAGAAAATGGATGCTCCGAATCAAAGGAAGTGGCTAAGAGTTGATGAGCGATAGACCTGTAAACAACACACATGTATGCTCACACAAACAGCGTAGTTTCTCCTGTAATTGATAGATAGGAGTGAGCTTGAGAAACCCACGGTAGACTTTATCTGCATACTGCAAGGTCGGGCTGAGATCTGACACTCCTGGTTGGAGAGGCGTTAGTGCCGTGGCAGTGGCTGATGTGTCGATATCGCGGAGATTCATGAGACCCGGAACATTGTGATGACACGCGGATGTCAGGAGGGTGTGAGCTAGAGAAATGTATTAGTATGTGCCGATCCGTAGTCAAGTAGGTTGCCTACGAAAAGTCATCTGTGGCGATGGTCTGAGCAGGTCGACATCAATAGTAAAAGTGGTTGAGGGGTACGGCGGTTCTGTAGGAGCAAGAGATAGGGAAGTCATCTTCGGCGAAGGTGTAGGCGTTCGTACGACAATGCCAGGCGGAAGGGGATCAAGGTGACCTGGAAGGGTCATTGTTAGACAGATACAAGAGATTCGCTTGCTTCCCAGCCTACCTCTTGGTCTTACGAGACCACCCGACCTGCGGATCTCTCTCCAGGCAGACGGGATTCTAGTCCCATTGAGATACACTCCAGTGTCTTTACCACTGCGATTCAGGTAATGTTGGGCAACGATAGGCCAGTTGTCCGTTTTCAATCTCTTGCGAAGCCCCAAATCTCTGAGTTTCGTTTCGTAAGTGGACAGCCTGGTGTAGATTGAGTACGTATCAACACAAGAGCAGGGGAAGGATACGGCATTACGGTGTTATCGGGAAACCGTACTCGGTTTCCATGATTTGCTTGACGTCTTTGAGCGTCTTCCTTTCGGTCTGGTATAGCTGTCGAAAGTGATGCTTGTTCAAGACCCACATACTGTCGTCTTCAAGAGGACGTTTTCTGGGAGCCATGAGAAGCGGCGTATCTGAAAGGTTTCTCTAAGAATCGAGGGTCAGGTTTTGGATTGTTTGAGAAGTTGGCGAAGGGATATCGGGCTCCCTCCGGGTTCAAATATTTTCAGTGACCATCGCGGTGAGGCTGGGAAACGCAAATCCAACCCACACAAGACTCGGATTGGGCACCCAAAGCAAAGGAAGCCAAGCGTCGAACCCTGGTTGTGCATAACCTGCCCGCATATTGATAGCTAGGATGATTGGCTGTTGCGGCTGGTGTGGCTGATGCGGATACCTCGTATTCCTGGTGGCACAGCCTGACCGCTGTACGGAGGCAACCAGTAATAGCGCCCGGAGCGCTCAGTGAACAGACACTGACGTGGCAGGCGCATCAGTTTTCTATACTCATGTGCGCCTGTCCGAAATCTGGCAACATGCCGATGTTGCTTTTAACTGGATGACCATTAAGCTTCGCTATTAACAAGTTGGATAGGTGTATCAGTTGCTGTCCAGCACCTTTTCAGCGGGGATGTTGTCCAAAATGTGGTCTTTGGCAGTAAATGTTGCAGATGGCAGACACTGCCATTGTCCAAAATCTGGTGTTCTCAAGTATTTATGGCATTGCCTCACGCCATGAAGACTTTCCATCTTTTCTTCCTAGCAATCTCCAGGTCAGTCTACGGAGCGGCTCAGATATTCAGCATGGCCATGTCTCTTGCAACGGTCCTTGCACTTGTGGCTTTGCTGGTCATGTGTATTCCAGCCTTACCCTTCCTCTGGCGCCATTATCAACGTAATCGGCAGCTGCCGTCCCCTTATCGCCATCCGAGCCGCTCAACGGCCAGTAGCCACGACTCTTCATATCTACACACATCAGCTCCGCCGCTTGACGGAAGTCATGTACGATTATCCTCGAGAAGAGTCCATTTTGCCAGCTCAGGATGGACATCGCACTATGACGAGCTTTCTCTGGTTGAGAGTGGGATATTGCCACACCTGTAAGAAAACCCCTATGGATTGGTTTCGTTGGCAAGACTGTCTCACCTGTTCTATCAATCTCAGCGCAGCATGTGAAGCACAGCGAGCCTCCTCATCGAACATGATTTGTGGCTATAGCGACTAAAAGCGAACTCAATATCCAGAGATGAGATGGGAGGGCTTTCGAGCAGAAGATTTGAAGGAACTGTACTGCAATCGGTTGACCCGTATCTGTCAGCAAAGTTTCAAGCGTGTGAATGGCTGAATGGTAGACTTGACCACGGCGTTGATGGACTCCGGCCAAATTGTCAGGGATCTCGTTGTGTGAGGAGCCTGCTGCGGCAATGATAGGCTCCGAGGTAATCGAGGTAACTCGGACTTTGTGGTCGAGAACATCTCGCCATCGTGTCAGACATGGAATTCAGGTCCCTTTGAGTCCATCACATTATGCGTGCGGAGTTGTTTGTCTCGTGCAGGTCGTGCCAAATCACTTCTTTGTGACTGGCGCAGAGAGAAAGTTCCGAACAGTCTTAGACCCGTGTCTTTGACATGGACTTGAGAGATCTAACGAGATCTAACGGTTAACATCCAGGCTAGCAGTGTGAAGGAAGGGTGACCACCATGACCAGATTATCGAGTTGAGACCACGTACACAACTTGTGTGCTTGTGTCTGAAAGAAGGAAGAAAGGTCCGTGGGATTGCGGGTGGATGTATCTAGGCTAGTCCTTAAGTAGCCTAGTGTATCATGTGACGGAAATCCAGTTCACTTCTTTCCTCCGGCGCTTTCCATGGATCCTGTTGAAAGCGCACGTCACTGTTATCACGTGGATCAGGAGAGGCTTATCTCCAAGTATTGCTACCTCTATTTATTCACTTCCTGAGTGTGTTATATCTGCACCTCAAAACAAATTGGTGTCTGGAGTGCGAATGAACGAATGAATGCTTTCTCTGGAAGATCACTGTGCCGTACTTTTCGAGTTGTATGCTGCTTCCAGTGGAGCATTCCAATCATTCAGTAAGTCAACACTCCATATGATGAAGCTGAATATCCAAAACGATCTACTGAGCTGAGAGGGAACACGTTCAACAAAGAGATCAGTCAATCAATCAGGCTTTTCCCAAACCTCATTTGATTGCCCCATTGGTAAGTAGTGCAACGAATGCCTCCCTCGTCATCCTCCCGTTCTCGACGTCTTCTCTCAAACATTCCATCTTCTCCACCATCTCGTCGTACTTGTCCAGTTCGGCCAGCTTCCGTTCTGTAAACTTCTTTGCCTCGTTGCCGTGATGGCCCTCCTCCAGCTCCTTCCACCGCTCCTGCCCGAGGTGCGCCCGAAGCTGTGCAAAGGGTAGGCTGTCTGGGTGGTTGAACCCCCATGACAGTAGCATGTGCAGCCACATGCTCCCCGATTCATTGGAATGCCTCACCAGGCGAGACAGCTCCATACCCGGCTGCCCGGGAGTCCGCGCCTCCTCTTCCTCAAGTACGGTTTTGAATATGTCCAGGCTCCGGAGATACCGTTGTAAGATCTTGGGAACCTCTTCCTCGTCGAGGAAAGTATCATAGTTGTTCAGTCGGTCTTGTAATAGCCACCACGGGGCGGAACCAAAGAGCTGCGCTGGGCCGACATAGGACCATTCGAGGTCCACCAACCCCACCACAGTGAGATCCTCTGCGCTCCGGACGATCAAGTTGGCAAGGCCAAGATCGTCACAAATGAGCTTGTGAGGTCCGAATGCGTAGCTGGGTTCGACAAGCTGCGGGGCAACGGCCTGAAGGGCGCGAAGGGCAGCATATTTGGCTTGGGTGACGGTGGGACCACCGGCAGAATTAGGCTGGCGCTGGAATTGTTCCCAGTCTTGGCCAGCCAGGTAGCAGAAATAGTCGGCAGTGCCAGAGAAGCCCAGGTTTCGGTCGCCTTGGTGGAATTATGTATGCAATTAGTATTTTGTTTCTCAAGCCAATCATGGGTATCCGCTGCTAGAATTGTAAACACGAAAAACAACAAGAGGCAAACAAGAGGCAAACCAAATGTCAAAAAAGGGCATACCAAAAGTGTCGACCCCTCCGGTTTGCAGGATATCGTGCACCTTGAAAGTCAAGGGCCGGACAGGAGCCTTAAAGCCGGTAATGGGCGTTGGGAGGCTGCCGAGGACGGGAAAGTCGATCTGGAAAATCTGGAGCAGGATGCGGGCGAATTGTCGGTAGAGAAACTTGACATCTTCTTCGCAGATGTCGTCCCGAAGTAATCTGGTATTGTGCTGCTGCCGGAGCAGCGTATTGACACTGACCCCTTCGATAAATTCCATCACAATGTAAGGACCCAGGCCGAGCGGGTTGTCGGCGCTCAGCCCCCAGGCAAAGATGTTCGGGACGGGTACGTTCCTAGCACGGAGAAGGCTCAAGACCTCCACCTCGACTGCGATCTTCTCGTCGGCGTGCTCGTCGCAGACGCTGCCAACAATGGGCATGCGGAGAAGCCAGATGGTGCCATCACAAAAGCACAGCTTTTGGCACAGATTGTACGAGCCGTTGAGGAAGTTGCCGTCGAGGCTACATTCCAGCTTTTGGGGGTGTAAGGATGATATCCAGCTAGTTACAAGGCCTGTGACGCGAGCTCGGTTAACTCGTTCAACCCAGAGTTCCCTCTGGATATCGTGAAGGAGTTCAATGGGCTTGTTGATGTCCATAATCCTGAGTGAGGTGAGAGGTGGTTGCGGAATGGTGTGTCATAGTTGACATCCCTTGATCTTTGATGGCTGTCAGAATGTTTGTATTTCAGCCACGTGGTACCGAGCGTCCATTGCCTCGAAGTATTCCCTATTTAGGAAAATACTCTCGCCGTGTTTTCTTCTGCCACTTACCAGATTAGGTTACTAAAGTAAACACCGTATTAACGATGGACTTGCTGGCGTCAATCAAAGCAATCGAGGTCAGAGCCCAAACACTTTGGGGATATAGCAATATAGAGGATGGCCAGCATCTTCGTAAGAGGTACAGTATGGAAAAAGCTGGAGACCAGGGAAGCGTTGTGCCAATCTCAGCGCGCAAAGGTTCTGGTGGAACTGTGAGCCAATGTTGGGCTGGGGAGTCTGGCTGCGGGTAATGCCCTCTACGACCAGATGAGTGACTTCCAACAGGCAGTTTTAGTGACGTTCCAGCCAGAACGCCCCCTGAGGGCCTTGTCAACAGCAGATAGCCGAGGCCACGGTGTGATAACAGGCGCCCGGTCTCCTTGTGGCACGATTCAGGAAACGCATCTATCCAGCTGAGGACCAAGCCAGGGCACGAGAACACGAAGTATGTACCTCTCTATATACCCATGTCTGGTCAATCTGTGAGTGAATCTGCCGTGTATAATAGTAGATAATGTACCTCTTGAACCTCTTGCCGGCCTATCCCCGAACCCCCGACACGTTTGACGACGAATTTGGTCATCAACTCAATCTATGACAGACTCTTGGCCAATATTTGCCCGCGTCCTCGGACGAAAAAAGGACACGCTCTTTGGACTTTCTCACAGATTCACAGATTCACAGTTGGAATGTGTCGAACCCTTTCCAGCCGTCAAGTGCGTCGTCAAGGATCTCTTTGTACTTGTTCACTCCGCCCAGATACACGAGCTGCTCTACGAGTTTTCCGGGGATGTTTGCGCCGGTATACCAAGACTCGGTGAACTGTTTGTTATGACAATTTTTGTCGTGTTAGTTTTCGAAAGGATCAACTTTGATGGGGCACCAACGAAGAAGCGAAGGAAACAAAGCGGCGGAGGATGTGCCTCGAAAGAGGACATTTGGGAGGTTTGATGTCCTTACCGGGAAGAGTGTCTGCTTGTGCATTTCCTGAATCCCTTCTCTCCACGTGCGGGCGGCCTCTGCGTTCCCCTCAATGGTGGCAATGCCTTGGTCGTTCATCTTCTTAATCGCCTCACAGATCCAATCCCTTGAATCTCGATGCAAGGGGGGGCCGTTCGAAAGTTGAGAAGGTGATTGTGGCTGGTGGGTGGCGAGTCCATCGAGAAAGAGTGAATTAGCCCGGCATCCTTATCGGGGCGGAGAAGGAAAGGAGAGGGAAGAGGCTATTAGAAAGAACCACATTCACGCTGTACATTATAAAGAAGTTGGGCATGTCGGGCACACAGATCCCCAGATTAGTGTATACGCCATCCTTCTATTTCTCCTTGAGCGTCACTCCGTGCTTGTCGCTGATGTTGAGATCTATCAAGCTCCCCGTAACGTTATCGTAGCCTGGGGCAAGAAGGACGACATCGAAATTGCGAGTTTTGCCGTCCACAGTGGTGACACTCGTGGTGGTAAACTCCTTGATGGGCGTCTCCTTGAGGTTGACTAGCTCAACATTTGGCCGATCGATCGATTCGTAATAGTCGCGCTCGAGGCTGCTACGCTTGGTGCCCATGTAATAGGGCTGCACGACTGGGCATACAATGTTGCGTTTTGCAACATCTTTGACTCGGCCCTCTGTCTTTCTCCGCCAGTAGCCATACACAACTTTGTTGACCTTGGTGTCCAGTACCCATTCGCGATAGTTACACATCAAATACTTGAAACCCTCCCCGATCGAGAAGCTCGTCCCACGCCTTTGTCCGTTCTTGTTCTGTCGCATCGTAGTAGGAGCCAGGGAGCGAGGCATAGGGGAACCCTGAGCCCGTCAGTCTGCAGTGGTCGAGGAGAGCCTGGACAAACCCCCGTCCAGCCTTCTGATCCGCAACTGACGGGCGGTTCTGTCCCATCAGCAGGTTGATGGCCGGTTGACAAGGAAGGCCGTAAGTTGGCAGTCCTCCTTGGCCAGTGTCTGAAGAATTTGAACCCCACTGGCACCGTTTCCTACGGCGATGGCCTTGTTCGTCACATCCAGACCTTCGTGCGGGTAACTGGCTGAATGGTAGATTTTACCGCCGTATTGCTGGATTCCTGGCCAGGAGGGCAAGTATCTCTTGTGCGAGGAGCCGGATGCAGCAACGACAAACTTGGAGGTAAAAAGAATGTTAGAGTTCGCGGTCGAGGTCCATCTCCCTCCATCGTGCCACACCTTGGTCACCAGGGTGTCGAACACAGTGTCCTTTCGGAGGTCCCAGACATCTGCTAGGTGATTGAAGTAGTCTCGGATCTCTGCGCCCCCGGGAAACCGTTCCTTCCAGTACCGAATCCTGGTATGTTCCGTACTGTGAGAATTGATACAACGGGATCTCAGAGTCAACCGCCACACCGGGATAGCGGTTCCAGTACCAGCAACCGCCATAGCCAGAGCCGGTTTCGCATATTTTCACCTTCTATCCCAGTTTTCGGAGCTTGTGCAAGGCATAGCAGCCACTGAAGCCGGTACCTATGACCAGCACATCCAGTTCTTCCCGAGACCTGAACCCGTCGGAGTCGATGTCGTTGACGTGTGCAGCACCATTTGTCTTCATCTCGTGCTGGACATTGCTTGGTTCGGTCGGAACTGTAATGCGCCCGGATAACTCGATATCTTCGAGCGTGTCAGCATTTGCGACGACTTCAGAGGCAGAGTGGATGGACATGATGTTCTCGAGGCCCATGTGACAGAGTCTTCACAAATTGGTTAGGCGAAAGCCATGTCGAGGTATTACAATGTTTTGTCGCTGTTAATAACTGCAGTAATTGAACCAATCAGGCGGATGCTCCATAAAATATTCCCTAGTCAACTGGACGGAATGGGTGAACGGATCTCGGAATCATGTCTAGGAAGTTGATTGCATCGGAAAATCTACGTCAATTTGTCGTATAGCCCAAGAAAGTAGGGGAGAACCCAAATAGAGAGGGATAGAATGGGCGAACGATGACTTGTCTGGTGAGTGAAGTGGCTGCTGTTGTTCCCCATACAGGACAGTGCCCGGGTCTCTGGTGCAGGCAGAGATCTCTCAACAATCATTAGATTCATATTTTGAATATCTGGGTGGTGTGAGATCTAGGCTATCAAGGTGAAGGAAAAGTAGCCGCAATGGCCAGAATATTGAGATAAGATCATAACTTGTGTGTCTGAAAAGAAGAATGAGGGTGTTGGTTTCAATCGAAGAAGGGGTGTGTTTTGAGGCTAATGCCGAAGAAGCCTAGCGAAGGGCTCGCCAAAAGCCATGTCTCCCACCTATCGAATGTGGCGAAATTGTACCACGACACGAGATCCTGAGGTCCACGCTTACAAGTTTCCTTCAGCCGCGACACGAGAAGATCGACGTAAGTCTGCAACATGCTCTCTTGCTCGCGGAGGGCCTTTTCCGAAAACGCGGGAGCGATCGCCCGTCGAAGGCGTAGGTGGTGGTCATGGGGCGCGTTGACGATAGAATAAGCCCCGTTGGAGGATGGCATGATCCCGGCACCATCGAGGTCCTTGGGCATTTCCACCGACCTGTGGCCGTAACTGTCGAGACATGTTAGCTATTTTGCTGGTCTCGGCACGCAATTCAGTCGAGGGGACAATACATCTGCCTCCATGCCGCCGGCTCGGTATAGGAGAGCTCGTTGGGAGCAATCCTCACAACAGGGCCGTATTGCTTGTGGAGTGCCGTGAGTCGCGTGTGGATCTGACCGCTGGTCGTATTGTAGAACCAGGGAAGTCTGCTCGCGGCCCAGGCTTTGGGGCCGGGGTATTGTCTCAGGGGGTGTAGATACACATTGTAGACAACGTTGGCAACAGCATACAGCAACAGCTTGCACGCTCGTTAATGGTTTCATAGCAAACAAGGCGGAAACATACCGATATAGGGACAAATATGATCACGACTACTATCCTCATCTTGACATTCGGCTCCTCTTCGCTCATACTTGACTAGAAGAATATAAGCCTGTGAGCAAAGGCCAAATCAGCAGCGTTGATACTGGTTTTCATGTGTCAGTTTAGGAGCAGTGATGCCGGTTGCTGAGGGCCAAGGAGTTCGTCGCGTCGGAGAGAGACCATCCCTATATACTCTAAGCATGTTTGAGGTAATACTAGGAGTGTCGAGGGTTTCGAGTCTGCATTGAATCAGCCAGAACTGGAATATGGACGCCATTCCGAGGGAGAGAAAAGCATTTATCCAAATTCCGTATTGAATGCTGAGTTTGTTCTGCCTCGGTTTCGGTAGGAAGGTTAGCCGATAGCTTTCACGTGACGACTTCAAACTGCGCCCCACCAGATTGAGTCGATAATCAATTCAATCAGTGTCACCACAGTCAGCAATTGTAGCAGTTGCTGTCATTGCAATTCGACATTCCAAATCACAGCATCGATGGTATGGCACTTGGAATGTACAGTAGTAGGCGGCATGCAGGTACTCGTCCTTATATCCCCAGCCACCAGTACTTCTGCATCTTGCTGAAAAAGACTGCGCCACAACCCCCGCAGGCAATTGTCCGCTTGTCTCCAACGATATTACCGAGTCCCGGCTATGGGACCTCGACGAACACGCAAGTCAATTGTCCCTCCTTCTACTCGGGCCGTGCTTCATGTGGGAGAATCTGCTGTCTCCATTACGAAATGCAGGTCAATTCGTCAGAGGGGACGAAGCATTGAAAGGACACCGCGTTTTAGAAATCCCTAGGAGTTGATATGCTCCCATGCCCTGTCGATATTGTTGTTCTCTCATAGTATTCATCCCACCTGGGCACCGCAACTCGACACCAATAAAATACAAAGCTGTGGTTTTATGAGATCGCCTGGTGAACAGTAAGAAAGGCAATAGCGATACCCTAACAACCATGTCGCACCCACCACCTGAACGGTTCCTTCATGGCAAAGTCGCCATCGTCACCGGCGCCGGATCTCTTGGTGATGGAATCGGCAACGGACGCGCCGCCGCCCTTTTGCTAGCGCAAGATGGTTGCTCGGTGGTGTGTGTGGACCTAAAGCACAGTCTGGCACAGCGGACCGTCGAAATGATTGAATCGGTAGGCCACGGGGCAGGAATTGCCATAGCAGCAGACGTAACCAAGGAGGAGGACTGTCAGAAGGCTGTAGCCCTCGCAGTTGAGAAGTACGGGCGTCTGGACATTCTGGTGAACAACGTCGGTAGGTCCCTTTGGCAGTTCTATGGATGACGATAACTTCCTCCCTTTGGTTCTGACTGCTTTATCCAGGCATTACAGGCCCCAAGGGCACCACGACCGAAGTCGACATGCAAGCATTTTATAAAGCCATGGAAGTCAACGTCGGGAGTATGATCCTGATGGCCAAGTATGCGATACCTGCGATGAAGAAGAACGAGGGTCAGTGTGCAGGGGCCATTGTCAACCTCGCCAGCGTTGCGGGTCTGCGTGGTGGCCATCCAGCCATATTCTATCCAACGTCCAAGGGATCCGTCGTCAACTTGACCCGTGCCATGGTAACCAATACCTTCTCCAGTCGGGCTGCAGCCAAATAACCATATGCTAGGCAACACACCATGGTAGAGACCGGGTCAGAGTGAACTGTGTCTGTCCAGGTGAGTTTGACCTCTTTGAGAATACCACCTCAGCTTGACTTGGGTCGAATTTACTGATCTTTGCGGAACATTTTGTTTTCAGGAATGGTCTACACACCCATGATGTAGTAAGTGCGCCATCCACCCTCCTCCTGCACGAAAATCATCTTCCAACACAAAATATCTAACATGGATTAAACAGTGGCGTCGAGGGCGGCATGTCTGACGCAGAACGAAAAGCTCGTGCATCGCGTAGCATCCTCCGCACAGAAGGCAGCGGCTGGGACGTTGGTTCCGCGGTGCGTTTTCTCGCGTCGGACTGTGCTCGATGGATCACAGGTGGGTGTTTCCATTCCACTTGGCGAAGGAGACAGACGAGTGGTGTGACTTACTCTGACAACGATACTGACCGACCCTTTGTAGGTGCTATCCTGCCTGTCGATGCCGGTGCGACAGCTGCTGTAGGACTGGGTGTCCCGAGCCTTCACGATGCGTTTCTGGGAACAATCGGGGCCAAGTTGTAATAGTCGACCCAACCGTTATGCTACCAAATCAGGTAATGCCTAAACCATATGAATTTTGCTTGCAATATTTTTGCTATCCATATGGTTCTTCTGCTTGATTGACTCGGCCATGAGATCTGAAAAAGTCAAAGTCTCACGCCTCCATTGTTTATGGTCGGGGTCCTCCATGGGTCCAACACCCGAGATCTGCCATCAAGGGTCGAGGTTGTCTGTGTGCCAAACTCCAGTCTTTCACTCCTCCCCTTCTTCATCCACATCCCGTCCCTTCTTCCTTCCCATCACTGGTGGCCACCTGTCATAACCATGTCTTTAATTACGGCGCTCCACGAGCGCATATCTCAGATGACTCCTATGGAGAGGTTCGATTGACAGTAGCTTTTCACTGTTGGGCCGATGAATATGCCGCGACGCCTGACAAGCCCGGACTTCCAGACCGCTTTGCAGTCAAGCAGGGCCATACCAAGGTCGGCCATGTGGCAGAGAGAGTTGGTGAGGCGGATATTGGCCTTGCGAAATTGGATGACGGCATTACCTTTTCTAACCGATTTCTCGACATCGTCAGTTCGGCGAAGACACTGCTGCGCATGGATGATATTACTCAGGGAGATACGGTTCTTATCGACAGTTTTGTTACTGGACGACAGGCACTACCATGTGTCGGAAAACGTATTGTCCCTACAGAAGGGTCTGCGTCGATTCTCAAAGGGAAGGCGGGAGATGTTCCTCAAAAGGGCAGATACATACAACGACGCCAAAGCATCTGGGCGACCAATAAGCCGGAAATATGCGCATCTACGAAAATTCGTGCTGGTGTATGCCGGGAGCGCCATAGTGCGGATTCAAGCCAAAGGTGATGCAGAGGGTTTGGGCCGCGGTGAGATTTGTGGATTTGTGCCCTGGCCAGGTTCACAGGAAACACTCGACAGCAATGGCAGGTTGTTTTGCTTTGCTGATGCGCTGGATGAATTGATCGACGATGGCTGGACATGTGTCCCGGCTCTGGAGTGCGTAGTGACGCTATAAAGGATCGGGAGAACCATTGGGACAAGGGGAAGAGTGGGTGGGAAGGAGTTGATCTCCAAGTCCTGATACCAGATATATACATCGATGGCGCACCGAAAAAGACAGTGCTCATTGTGCCATTAACTACCTACCTACTTACCCACCTACCGACACGCAAGTACTCCCTAGGAATTTTATCTCTTTCCAACCCATCTACTTCTCCGCCATACCACTGTTGACACTGCCTGTGCTGGAGGTCATGCCGCCATCAATAATCAGTTCCTGGCCCGTCATATGGCGGGACGCGACGGAACTGGCGAGGAAGAGGACCGCGTTGGCGACGTCGGCGCTGGTGCCCATCTCGCCCGTGGGGACCTGCGCGTTCCTCGTCCGCACAAACTCGTCGTAATCGCCGCCGTAGTACTCTGCGATGCGGGACACGAGGGGCGTGGAGATCAACCCGGGAACGACGACGTTGATCCGCACGCCCTTGTCGGCGTAGTACACGGCCGTGTGCTTGGTGAACATGTGGACGCCGGCCTTCGCCGCCGCGTACGCGGCCTGCGGCTTGCCGATGTATCGCAGGCCGGCGATGCTGCCGATGTTGATGACCGCACCGCCAGCAGGTTGGGCGGTCAGCACAGGCAGCACAAAGTGGCACATGAGGTAGACGGATTTGAGGTTCAGCGTGAGTTCCTGGTCCCACAGCTCCTCGGGCATTTCGACGGGGCCGCCACGATGCGCGCCCCCGACGTTATTGACGAGGATGTCGACGCGGCCGTTGTGGCGCTGTGTCACGGCGCGCACGAACGTCTCGATCGACGCCGAGTCCGTCGCGTCCGCGACAGCCACGTCCACGACCGCGCCCGGTACGTGCTTCTCGATCCGCCGCTTCGTGCGCTCCGCGGCTGCGAGGTCCACGTCGCACCCAAACACCTTGACGCCGGAGCGGGCGAGCGCGAACGCCGCCGCGGCCCCGTTGCCCCAGTTGTCCTCGACCGAGGGGTCGCCGAACTGCCCGATCCCCGTCACGATGGCAACTTTGCCGGGAAGGTCTGGGTATATGGGGATGGGCTCATCTTGGAACGCCGGTCTGGGTCTGTTGTGTGTGGACGTGGATGTTGCCATATTCGTGGTATTTCCCGTGTCGGACAGGATGTCAGATATCAGAGAGAGGGGGACGATGTGTCGGGTAGAGGATGTAGGGCAGCAGACACTAACTAACCGACACAACTCAACTCATGGCATGAGGTCGACGTACCCACAGACGCTCACACACATTAACAGAGTATTAATCCTGAGGGGAAGGAGTGTAGAGTAGAGTGTAGAGGGTAAAGAGGGAGAGGAGAGGAGAGGAGAGGAGAGAAACCCGATCCCGTACAACCAGACTGACCTGATCTATTTGTACTTGTATTCGTACTTTGTACTCGGACTGCCTGAGTGAGTGGCTGCTCATCATCGTCCGGCAAATAAGTCAATCAGTGGTTGAATATCCTGACAGCCGCGAGGAGAGGAGAATCGCCGACAGAAAACTCCAAAAAATCTGTCCGAGGCTTTTGGATCCGAAGAATGTTGGAGTAAAGAGAACGAGTATGTACTCGATCCTCGTGTGGGACCCCACGAGTAGATATGTGGAGTACATACGTACTTAAGTACATACATATATACATAGCCTATCGACGTGCCGATACACAGGTCTGCGAGACTCGGGTGTTTCAAACCGTGGAGGAGTTGGGAGCAGTCATCCCTCCTGAATGAAAGACGACACCTGCACTGCATTATGTAAAAGGGGCAGCATCTTCCACTGCTCTTTGACGGCGACACGCTCTCAAGGTTCTAGGTAAGTAGCACCCTGGACATATGTACTATGTAATTGCTAAGTCTGTTAGACCTGCCCGTGTAGATAGTCAAGACAAGTCATCCAACGCATCCCTTCGCGCCTTCCTTCCTCGCAGTTGCCTCAACTGTGCCGCAAACTGGGATTTCAGATTTCACCCTTTCTATCCAGGCAGCCATTTTGCCCCCTTGCCATGCCCAGTCATTTCCTACTCGAGGTCTCAAGGTCTCATCATCATTCCTTTTCCTCCGTCTTCAGATCCTCAGTCTTGTTTCCTTCTACGATAGAGGACTGAAGCCCGTGATAACACCTCAGGAATGAGTCTTCGCAAGCGTCGGGCTAGTGACGGTGGATTGAGTGGCTGAGTGGTCAGCCGACGGCCAAATGTGCTCGCACTGAGACTATGGAACCTCAACTCGATCAGGTCAAGGTCTCCACCTAATATCATCATCAATTCTAATGTCAATGGCAGGATCGCCGGTCCTTCTGACTCGCTAAAGGCCGGTGAATATTCCATACAAGTCAAGCTTAGATCCACGTCCAAGGCTGCACGCAATGACCCAGAATTCAGCACTGCCTGAACGTGAGCTGTACAGAAAGATCTTCTTGGAGAAGTCGAATGGAGGACCAACTACGGTGGTACATCGCTTTGAGACCTCCCTCGCGGCCCGACCTCCTAGCCCATATCCCGACGAAGATGAATCCCTCGAAAAGGTAGCCGTTAGCATGTGTCAATGGAGGAGCGAGTCAAAGAGATGGTGTCGTGATTAGCCAGGACGGTGAGCAGACCAAGGTAATGCGGAAGATGAAAGTGATGACGACGTTCAAAGTTACCTAGATGTTGAAGATGAGGATGATGAAGATGACAGCAACTACGACAGCGAGGATGAAGATCGCTTCGAGTATGATCCAGACTTTGAGTTCAAGTGGCTGGAGCCTATCGATCTTGCTGAAAGGACTGGGGTCTGTCGAGCCTGTCGTGGAGCTCCAGGGTCCGGATGCCCTACTGCGAATAGTTAGAGGATGCACGTGCCGGAAATGTCTGCAAGGGTTTTTGAGTCCCCGGATGTCACACGCTCTCCCATGTCAGGCCGACGTCGGATACGATTCGATGCAAACCTACCTGAGTGTAGGAACGACCATGAGTTTGGCTTTGTTAGTGGTATGTGCGGTTACAGGCGCATTTCACTGACAGTGACAAAGGACTGGGTGGGCAATCAATCGTCTTGACGAGGACGGGAACATGGTCGATTCGTTGTTGTAGCTGCCTGCGAGCTGGTCTGGCGTGGCGTTCGATTAGGGGGATTGATGGGAACACAAAAAAAGGCGCGTTGCTCAATGATATTGATAGTTGACGTCCTTGTGGTTCACTCCGAAGGCACGAGGGGCTATCTTGCTTGACCCCGTCTCCACTCCTAGCCAAGCGGCCGTCATGGATACGCGGTGTTTCAAGGAGTGGATGATTGCCTTGTTGTTTGTGAAAGGGACAACGTAGGAACAGCCTTGTGTAAGTTTGACGGACGCGAGGCTGCAAGGCTGAGAAAATATCTTTACGTTGTGTGTGATCAATAGTGGCAAGCAATGCTGCAAATACGAGGCACCTGTAGTACCAGCATTCATTCAAACGACGAGCTGAGCTGAGCTGAGCTGGTTGGTTGTGTGTGACAGTGAGATAATCTATAGAAGAAGATGATCAATCAACCGGCCTGACTAACTGCCCACTGCTTACTGCCAACTGCTTGCTGCCAACTGCTTGGTCGTCTCTTCTCTGGGTTTGCGTCAAGAGGATCTCGTCACGTCACGGCTAGAGGACGAGAAAGGCAGGATCCCATTCATCCGCAAGTACGAGGCACAGTACTCGGTATGTCGCAAGCCGACGCGCAGTTCTGCCTCGCCTCATCGCTCTGAGCAGGGCAGGGCGACGATAGATACCCTTTCCCTATTGATTCTATCAACCCAAAGTCAAGGTATATGCCATGTGCCACGTGCCATATGGCATGTCTGCACATCTGGATCTAGAGTGATGTTGTCGATGTTGTCGTCCCCTTCTGTAAGTGTAACGTATGTCAAGTCTCGTCCTGAGCCCTGCACAGTAGCATCATGCAGCAACGCCGACCATCTTCTTTATCGTCCTCTCTGGAAAAGTCAGTCTTCCTCGTTGCCTTCTATGATCTCATAGCCCTCGCTGCCACCAATGTCGTCAGAATCGTTATCCTCGTTCTCATCCTCATCCTCATCGTTGTCTTCGTCTTCGTCGTCGTCATCGTCATCCTCGCCATCGACGGCTTTCAACCCGTAATCGTCCTGGAAGTAATTCAGGTCGTGGATTTCGGGTGAAAAGCCCGCGTCTTTCAAGCCGCTCTGGATCCCCTGTCACCACGTAGAAATAGTCAGCTCATAAAAGTCCGAGAAAAACATAGACAGCCCACATATCTCTCACAACGGGGATGACAGGAACGAATTCGGTCCAGGCACACAAAAACACTCACCTCCTTCAGTCCGGGTGCACAAGTCACCACGACATCCGCCTTCTCAGGCACAAAGACATTAAACACCACTCGCTGTAGCGCGTCCTTGATATCTGACACGCTGACGTCTCTCACGCGTTTCAACATTCTTTGCATATGATCATCCGGCAGACGCTGCATCACGCTTCGGATAAAACTCATCGCTGCAGCACTTGCCAGGGTGGCTTGCTCGTTTGCAAACATGACCACGATGGAACTGATGGCTCCCTCCAGCATGAGCGGGTCGAAGTCGACTGCTCCGGTCATGTAGTCCGAGATGATCTTCCGGGACGCTTCGAATGCCTTGTACGCATCGGGCGAACGGTAGACGTCAAGGTGGATGAAGCCAGATTCAATGTCAAAGCCCATGTTGGTCCCATAGGCTAACCCAGTGCCTCGTACAGCGACCCAAAGTGGTCCTTCCACAGCGTTCATATACGCCAAAGCGACCATGATGGCTGGCAGTTGCGGGTCGTCGTACGAAGTCGGTCCACGAGCCACGGCAAACGCAAAAGATGAGTCGATCGTGGGCATGGGGACGACGTACGCCAGTTTTCCGGGGTTCTTGCCGGCCTCGCTGAGTCGGTCGATGCGGCGGCCAATAGGGGTCAGCTCGTCGGTTGGGTCCAATCTCTCCAAGAAGGGTTGCCAGGTGCTCACAGGCTTCTGAGCCTTCTCGAGGTCAGTGATGACCAGGATCCGATAGTTCTCGAAACGACACAGTAAATTGCGCAGTCGTTCCAGTTGGCTCACCACTCGCTCTGGATCAACCTTGAGCAAGTGCCTGATGCGCTTGAGGTAAAGCGCCTTGACCAATATAGTCCTCGCACGCGTTATCGACTTGGGTGCCAGGTGCGTCATGAAGTGAACCGTCATCATCATATCATCGCCACTGCGCTTCGCATCCGGCACATCTGCCAGAAGACGGGTATTGACAGCCTTGAGCCGTTCCACATCGAAGATGGAGTTGTAGAGTAGTTCGGTCAACCACTTGACGGCCACAGCGTACCGTTCGTTCTCCACCTGGAAACTTATCCGTATGCCCTCTACGTTGCCCAGATTGTTCGCTGCATCGATAGAATAGCCTACGGTATCCCGCTCGAGTTCGGTAACTACCTGACGGAAGTCAATGGTCTCGTCACCTCGCTTGATCGGTAGGCTGAAGAAAGCTTCCATATAGATCGCCAGGAGGGGTCGAAGGTCGTCGGGGAGAGTCTCGGTCGAGACGACCAGGTGCACTCGAGTGAAGTTTGTCGGGATGTGTTCAAAATTAAGAAAGAGTGGTACATCTTTTGCATCCCCATCGATGATTTTCTGGTATTTGTTGTCTCGCTTTCCGAGATCCAACGCGCGACCTGCTCGAGCGCCTGGGATTGTCACAAAATGGATCGATTCTGTCAAGGGCACTTTGAACTTTCCCAGTAACGCTCTCGGGATCTCACGGTCATTCTCGGCCTTTGCTGCATCCAGTTTTTCCTGCATTTTCTTCAGGCCCTCGGGTCCTAGTCTGGCTTTCTGCTCTTCGATTCGGTTCGCTTCATCCGTCTTCAGCTTTTCTGACAATCGCGCTGAAGGAACACCCAGGATCGACACATGAGGCGCATCTGAAATGTACTTTCTGATATAGGCTTTCCACTGGTCTTCCGTCCAGCTTGTAAGCGTCTTGATATAATGTTTCAATGATTTCGCAACCTCCAAGGTCGACCCATCTCTCTTTCCGTACAGGTAGTCGGAAATGATAAAATCTGCAAAAGCCGTGGCGGAGCCTTCAGCATTGTACTTGGTCGTTCTTACTACACGGTCGATGCAGTCCTTCATGAAATCCATATTCAGGGGCTGTTCCATGGCCTCTTTCAACACCTCAAAGAAACGTTTCTCGACCTCTTCCAGCCGCTTGGTTTCGACACTGGACATGGAAAACTGAATCTCCGTTCGCGGGCGGCTATCGAGTTGGTAGAAGACACCGCTGGCCAACTGCTCCTTTTCCACGAGGACGTGGTCAAGCACTGCCGCTGAAGAACCGGCGAGATAGTTGAGGGCAACATTTAGTGCCCCTAGCTCCAGAGCGTCTGCACAGTTGGGACCCAAAAAGCGAATATCGACTTCGCCGAATGACTCGTCCTCCTCGGGAAACTCGACTCTTAATAGAGTCGTCTGTTCCAATGCGGGTGCAAGTTTGGATTCGATCCACGGCCGTTTGAAAGGAGCGTCTGGACTGGGGATATCCGGTAGGATTGACGTTTCGAATTCGTCCAGGATGGCTAGTAACTCGTCGTGGTTTGCCTCACCAAAGATCGCCACACAGAGATTCTTGGGCTGATACATTTCCCGGTGAAATTCTCGAATGCGGTCGGCGGTGAGGACGCGAAGTTGTTCCAGCATCCCTCCTGTCTCGTAACGATAGCCCACCCCTTCGGGATAGAGGATTCGTTTGGACTGGAGCTCGATCAACTCCGACGCCATATTTTGCACGCCCTGCATCTCTGAGTACACCACTCCAGCATCGTTGCCACTTCCGTCAATGTGATGAACCTCGGTTGTGCAGCCCGCATCTGTCAATGTGGGAAGAATGACGTGTTCCAGGTAGACCGGGAGAATTTGAGCAAAGCCTGCCCAGCCCGCGGTTTCTAGAGTGTATGCTGTGTGGTCCGTCGCCGTCCATGCGTTGGTACCTGCATACGCTCTCGTAGCGAGTTTGTCCAAGAAACCCTTGTACTTGTAGTTCTTGGAGCCCATGAAGCACAGATGCTCCAACGTATGAGGTGCCCCCGAGTCATCGTGGATTTCAGTGGCCAGCACGAAGAAGCCATGCAATTTAGGGCCTTCCTGGTCGACCACGATCACTCGCATACCAGTGCGTTCGGACTCATACTGGGTGATGGTGCAGGGGCAGTAATCTGGCTCGATTCTTTGGCATTGTCGAAAGCGGGGCTTTGCCCGGATGGAGACCATGTCAGCGAAAGAGAAATGCTTTCTGAGCGGTTGATCCAGAGGCGAGATATGCTGCTGAGTTGCCCACGTGAGATTAGCCAGATGGACGCTGCCGGAATGGAGCAGCGGGAGGAGGTGGTCGTGCGTACTCGGAGTCAAGAGCGCCAGAAAGCAAACAAGCAGTGAAAGTAGAAAGACGACAAGGCCCGCGTGCATGTACTTTTGGTCACCCTTAGGCACCGGACATTCTTCCAAGCAGAGAGGTCGACAAGAACTGAAAAAAAGGGCGAGGCCTCAACTCATCGAGGACAGCCTTGTCCTTATCATCGACTCACCAGTCAGCTGACGTGCAGGTTTGCCTCTTCTGTTCTTTCTTGTTCAACACACTGTGCAACCCCCTCGACTGAACAGAGAGTGCCAGAGGCAAACGACAGCACCAGAGCACAGCGAGAGGCGAAGCTCGAACGAGGTTAGCCCACCGAACGTGGAGGGTTTGACGGCGAAGGCAGCAACGTCCTCGTGTTCGTCCAACGTTCGCTCGGCTCGCGTCGCAGCGGGTCTCGCTAAAGTGACCAACGGAGAGAGAAGTAGAGCGACAAGGAGTTCTCTCGAGGAAATGGCTCGGCCAGGACTGTGTTCGCCAACGGCAGCCAAGTCAGCGATGAATGCAGTTGGCTTCGTCACCGCCGCCGAGTCCGACATTCGAAGACCTCAAGTCTTGGCATGTGGCACAATTCGATTGTGAATCTTGGTCACGTGAGCAGCAATTCACCGTGCCAGAGAAATACCTTGGCATGTTTACATCACCCAACTAGTGAGTCAGCTAGAGATTTAACTAGTCTAGTTACGGTTAGTCACCGGAAGAACTAGCAATCCAAGTCCTCCTCTTGGTTGCAGCTTCTCTTCTCCTTTCAGGACAACAAGTTCAGCATATCAAGGGCAGTGTGATGAAGAAGCCTCAGGCTGGACTGTGATGCCTACAGGTCCGAAGCCTCAAAACTACATACTCCATTTATCCACTTCAACAAATGGTACCTATATATTTAGGTAGGGATGCGTCCCATTGGAACACGATCCGGGAGTACCACCCTGATCAACCACCGAATCAAGAAGACATCTCGCCCCATGATGAGATTGCTGAGATCAAGCAACCTCCCCCCGCGCTATAAACGACTTCAACTCCATCTCCTGGCCAAACAACGTCACCTTGAACGGTCGCTCGATGACCACAAACTCAAAGTTCCTACCCATGCCGGCACCGTGGAAGTATCTGCGCATATCCTCTTCGGTGAAGCCGTGCTTGTTGATGGTCTGTAGGACGTTTCTCGCCGGCTCGGGGAGGTCTGTACCTAGCAGCAATTCGGGTCTCTCGTCTGAGAAAACCCGGTCGAGGACCACGCAGACACCCCCCGGTCGTAGTGTCTTGGAGAGGCGACGTAGCAGTCCCTCGGGGTCGGCAACGTGGTGGAGCGCCGCACAGACGACAGCGATGTCGAAATCACAGAGGACCGGGTCTCTGGGCTGCGGTTCCGCGAGTAAGTCGCACTGAAAGGCGTGGGCTTTGGCATGGGCATGGCCATCCAATCCTTCAGCCCATTTATTGTACTCGGCCACCATGTTTGCAGAGAGGTCAACCCCTACTGCTTCTGTGACGTAGGGAATCAAGGCCTATTACGAACAGGCACCAGACCAGAGTGCGACTTCGTGTCAGTGCTTGCTTTCCAAGTCCTCTGCATGACTCGTGATCACCGACAGCCAGATCGGGGTCGAAGACATCTGTACACACATACCTTTGACACCGTCCCCGAGCCACAGGCATAGTCCAGCAACTTCACTGGATCTTTCCCATCTGTTGAATTGCTGTCGGACCCCAACTTGGCCGAGATCCACAATCTCCTCTCCTTCAACTCCTCAATGACGGCCTGTATGAACGGCGCCCAGGTATCCTGGTGACTCGAGGCGACTTGACTAGAAAGCTCGAGACTTGGTCAAAAACGTCGCATTGACATCCGGTAAGTTCACCGAGATACGGGTGGGGGTCATACTCAAAGTGCTCGCGGTTGCGAGTCGTGATATCGGCCATTTCTTTCTATCTCTGAGAACTACCAGGAAGTATTGCAAATGCGTGCTCCTCCAAACAGTTGATTCCACTCCTTTTCTTTTTGTTGGACACAGTGAACTCGGATATGGGCCAGGCGGAGCTTATAGATATAGATATAGATATACACAGATGGGAAATGGTTAACTTGCCTACCCCAGAACGGAAATACTCCCGCTAATGGAGGAAAGGTGAGTGAGGACCTTGACCCCGTCCAATGACGGAGTAGGTATTTACCCCTTGGTTCTCCATCTCAATGGCGCAAAAGTCTCCGAGTGTCCATATACACCCATAACCCGGATTTGCAGCAGACAGGTTGTGAAAGCGTTGGCAGGTCTTGACGGGTGACGGAGACTTTCGAGACGGAGACTTTTTGGAAAACGTCCAGCATCTTCGATCTTGATGATCGGAAGACAGCCGCTGAGAAAGGCAGGGTGAGTGAGTGGCCGGTCGGAATCGTATCCAGCTCGTCACGGACGACAGACAGCCAGCCAGCCAGCCAGACAGACAGACAGAAATGCTCCGAAGGATGGACTAGTACAAATAACAAACCTCCAAGTTAGCGGCCACAAACACCGACCTGGACATATACCTACATATATATCCATACACCAACCTAGTACAACGGTTGAGAACACACTGTGCAAAGAGCTGCCTTCATCGTCGACGACGACACAACCTTGCCTTGACATTTGATATAAAAGACCTGTCACTCATTACACCCTAACAAAGGTCCTCTATTATTTTTACTGCCGCATTGATTTTATGATTCGTCACTTCTACACCAACCCGCTGCAGTCGCGGCGCCTTTATAGATATCCACGATATCCACCAAACCATCATGATTCCTCAACCAGAGAGAGAGAGCGGGAGCAACTACAAATGTCCGGCCAACCCAGCCAACGCTCCAAACGCCGCTCTCGGGTCGCCCTTGAACCTCTTCTCGGCGACCTGCCAATTGACCACGTCCCAGATCTTATTGAGGTATTCTTTCTTGTTGTTGAAGTATTGCAGGTAATACGCGTGCTCCCACATGTCGACGCCCAGCACGATTCCCTTGCCACCTTTCGGTAAATCCTGGTCCTTGCTCGTGGTCAACTCGAGGGTCTTTGTCTGCGGATCCTGCACCAGCCACTGCCACCCGGAGCCCTGGATCGCGAGCGCAGAGGACTCAAAGGCCGCTTTGAAGGCGTCGACGCTGCCCCATCTCTTGGTGATGGCGTCGCTGAGCGTGGGGGCCACGGCAGTCGCGGAGAGGTTGTTGAGGCCGCTCGACGCCGGCGCGAGTGACTCCCAGAAGAGGGTGTGGTTGATGTGTCCGCCGGCGTTGAAGTTGATGGCCGCTTGGAGCTCGAGTTGCTTCACGAGGTTATTGGCCGCCGCTGCCTCCGCTTGTGCACCAAGCGCCGCATTCAGGTTGGTAATGTATGCCCTGTGGTGCCGGTTATAGTGCAGGTCCATGATCTGGCCTGATATCGCAGGTTCTAATGCCTGTGGACGGACGCGAGGTTGGTCAGCTCACCGTTCCGCCGGCCCATAACAGTCTCTGACTTAGCTGGCCATGTACGTGCCAGGCCGAAAAATATCCCATCCGGTTACTTACATCGAGGCTGTACTGGAGTTGAGGTAGCTCGTAAGTCACAGGCATCTTGCTCAAATAGTGGCTAAAATCACTGTTCGTAAATGGCGTCGGGGTGGGATGCTTTTGAGAGATCTGTATGTTCCCTAGTAGCAGCCAGCCGACAGTCAGAGGAAGCGACAAACAAAGTGGGAGGTCCAACGATATAAATGGTAGATGATCCCATTGCTGTCCATGGCACCATCGGCGAAGGATCTTAATCCCAATGCAGGAGGTCGAAACTTGCTCAACCTGCTCATGGGAACCAATCTGAGCACGTTCTGGCACACTGCTCCGTGTAAGCAACTGAGGACCTTAAGATCCGCGATCCCCCTCCCAAAGAACCCGGCACCGGATCACATCCAGGCTGTAGAACAATGGTCTCTCTGTAAATATGCTGGGTTTGTGTTCAGAAGCAGTCCTTTGTAGCGGTCGACCGAGCCTCTGCGACCGAATATTATAGCGAGGCCATGTGTCACCAGGTCAATCCCCGGCATGCCCCTGCGGGTGATCTCGTTGCCATTCTACACCGGATCCAAGACGACAATCGAAACAGGACTGTTGGCAATGCGTGTTGGTGCCGGTTGCTGCTCAGCAAATCGTGTGGGAGCGAGATAGTGGGAGAATTGAGGTGCGAGGAACCAACTCAGCCCGACAAGTTTCAAGGTCAGAAGCTCCATGTGACTATTTGGTATGGCACTCGGCTCTGTCTCCTGCTCTCCTGCGCTTCTGTTCTTCTGATATCGTGCCAGGACGTATGCGAACGAGCACATCCATGTGGCGCCTGCTCGAAAGCAACGACTTCCCAACCCTGTCTTTGCACGCTTTCCGCTGGTGACCGGCGCTGGTCCTACCATTGTCAGTCGCGCTTCTCGTGATACTGATGGCCGTGATGAGTCTGGTCACCGAGATTTTGATCTTACAGTCGACGAACGAGGCATTGTGGGAAGAGAAGTCGACGTTACCAATGAGCAGGGCCAAGTGCTAGGAAGAGGCATAATCGGTTGGAATTGACATGGAACAACAGCACCGACAACATATTTGTTCTGTTGAAGCGCTTGTAACCATACATTGGATGGTCGTCGATTGCTATGCGCTCTTTTTGGTCTCGCTGGCGTCACCATCAGTCTTTTTCGATAGAATATCGACGTGATGCTCTCGCTTGACTTTTAGATCATCTCAACACCACTTGATTTCCTGGGCAACCACACACGTGCATCCACGGTGATGGTGATCAGTGAGAGGATGGGATACTGCGACAGGGTAAGCAAGGGAGAATACCGGGCTGATTGACAATTGTGACAATTATGATGCAGAATAGGAATGCCATATCGGAGTACCGAAGATATATATATATCCTATATAACATAGATAAGGAGGAACCCAACCTCTACGGAGCCATAGCAAGGCTGACCCATCAACCATACAAACACCCCAGGGTGGCAAGGCAAGTAATATGTATAAGTTGTATTTATCAATGTCATCCTTGAGCCAACAATCAATCCGCTGGTTCAATAGTGCCACTTCCATTGGGCATCTGGCTTACAATACCAAGTGCCTCCCTCGTATACTCACGGCCATCTCATCGCATGGCAACTGGACATAATATACAGACACACCGGGCGCTTGTCAGGATAGATGGATTTGTGATTATTTTACAACTATGCAGTTTGTGCGGATAATATGTCTGGAAGTTCCACCTCAACCTCTATACATCCAAAAAACTGAGGTTTCTGCCAGTCTCGCGCTTTATACCATTACCCAGATTAACTTTTTTCCCCAAATCCCGCCAGAATGCTGATATATAAACTTGCCGTCTCAGAATTCCAAATACTGCAGTCGCCCTCATCCTTTCGTAAGAACGCCCCCAGGGGACACGAGAAAATGTCAAAAATGCCGGTTCGTCACGAGGCGTTGGCGTATAACTCCGACAGTGTATTCTGTCCTTTTCGGAGTGCCCAGGTCTTTTGTTTCTTATCTTTCTTCATCTTCATCTCAGCCCAGCCTTGCTCGTCGTCTTCATCGTCCTGGTTTGCCAGAGGGGATCGCCGACCGAGAGTGTTCACCGAAGGCTTCGCAGCGTGCGTCGACGGTCGCTGCCCTGGGTCCATTGAAGACCAGGGTCGCACAGTGGACGATGTAAATGTCGACGCGCGATGATGCGTGGACATCACTTCGGGCTCTGGGGCCGTGGATACAGGCCGGTATCTCGAAGCTAGGCCGATGTTGCTACGCTCAGACGGTGCGATCGAGGGAGCATAGTTACCATTGACATTGATGGACGGCAACATCGGTGGCTTGGTGTTCCAAGGCGCCATGCTTGGATTCAGAGTACTCATGGTCCGTTGATTCAGCTGAGGTGGCGTGCCATTCTGCATCGCCAATGATTGAGGTCTTGCAAACGCAGGGTTCGGTACACCAGGAGGGGGCACGTTTGGCCCAACCATCATGTTTGACATTTGTTGCATCCATTGCATCTGCATCTGCATCATTTGCGTCATCTGTTGGGACATTTGGATTTGCGCTTGATCACCAGGAGTCAGCATAGGTGGCATCCCTGGCATCATCCCCGGCATCCCCGGCATCCCCGGCATCCCTGGCATGGCCGGTGCTCCCATGGGTGGATAAGCCATCGAGGATAGAGCCCCGGTCGTCTGAGATCGTACCATGCCAGGAGGGGGTCCGCCCATGGGAGGTAAGTCGTAGTTGCCAGCAGGGTTCGGGCTTCCTCGTCGAGCAGCTCGAGCGCGTTCTTCGCCAGCGATAACTCCGACAAGCCCAGCAGGGTGAATGGGATGGGCTGTTGCAGGTCCCGCTCCCTGTGGCGGGGCTTGAGGGTGAAGCGCCAGGGCTTCACGGTTCGAAGGGTTCACCAGGCTGGCTCCATAGTAAGGGTCCGGGGGTAGTTGTCGAGCAAAGACTGGCAAATTACCGCCTTTAGGAGCTTGACTGACCACAGACGGAGCCCCTTGGTTCTGGCTGACACTTCGCAAATTGGAGTTGGAAGGAGAATTTGCAAGTCGTGTGGGAGGCCTATTTCTGTTCGGGAAACCGTGGGCCGCAAGAATACCAAGTGGCACATCCTCATCTTCGTCCTCCTCCTCTCCGCTACTTTTACCAGACTGTTTCGAGTCCAAGGTCATCCGTGACAAGCGGTTGAGATCCGTTGCCGAGTTGTTGTCACCCGGTCGCAGCATGCCGAGGCTGCTCATTGATCGAGTGGGCGGTGCTTCGCCTGTTACCTTCATCATCTGTTGCCGGTACACAGCCAGGTGGGCTTCTTGTTTTCGACGCTGCTTAGTTGCTTGTCGGCTGCGTTCAATCTCGTCATCATCGTCTTCAGCACTGTCACTCGCCTCAGAAGCACTGTCGTCAGACAGAGCACCAAGCCGTCGGTCCATCTCCTTTTGTTCCTTGTACCGTTCCCACTGAGCAGGCGTCATGACTTTATTCATGGCAACCGACTTGACCGGAACCGACTTGGTTTCCTGATACATGTCGGCAAGCTGCGCATCCGCTGCAATATTCGGATCAAACGAGGCGCTATGTGTCGAACTCGGGGACAATCCCGCCATGTTGTCCCGAACAGGGCTTGTCAAGGCAGTACTGCTGTCCGCAGACCTGGTGTGTAGCAACTGAGAGGGACGTAATTCCTCCTCATGTGCAACGGATGTCGAACCTCCCAACCCTCTCGCAGTAATTGTTGTATCTGACATCGAGCCGAATCTTCCAGGGCGGGAGCCAGCGTCTCCAGCTTTCATCGGGCTTCCCTGCGTAATAGTCTTGGACGGACTAGGGGACCGTATCAAATGATCATTGGAATCCTGTGACGCCCATGAATAAGGAGAGGATTCAACGACTTGCGAGCGATCCGTGGAGATAGGCTTCGGAGGAGGTGCTCGATTGACACGAAGTGGACTATTGCCTGGATAAGAGGTCGGAGGATATTGTGTGGGAGCAGGAGAGATCGAAACCTTTGAAACATCAGCATGGAATATTGTCAAAACGTTCGGAGCTTTCTCCTACCTCTTGGTGTATAAGCCGGCCTGGGGGCGCGTCAGGGCTAGACCCGATATGGTCAAACATGTTTCCGAACTCATCCAATTCGGAATTCTCCAACGATAAGTCGGTATCAAACAGTCTGGGAGGCGTGGCCGTGCTTGCACTACTTGACGTGACCGCCCTGTTTCTGGTCATGTCCTTCAAAGACGGTAAAGCACCGCCTGGTGAGGTGGGCGATCCTCGACTGCCTTTCACGAGCCCAAAGGAAAATGTCCTAGTGGGACTGCGAAGGAAGCCAGGCCTCGTCGAAACAGGCGGCGGCGCGGGGATGTCGTTGAACGGTCTTGACCCAGCACCTCCTTGGACATTCTTGTCCGACCTTGTGTCAACGGAAGAGGGATTTGTCGACGAAGTACTGAGGCGGGCGGATGATGCGGCACTGTCGTTAGGCGCGGTTGAGTGGGATCGTTCAGTACCACCACTTCCCCTAGACATTCTTGTCAGTCCTTTACCCTTCATATAGTCGACCATGGTTGTGTTCGCGTACCGGTTACTTGCATCAGGGCGGCCCACCCCAAATAAATCTACCTCCTCGTGGTCGCGTCGATCTTTCGGTGGTGGCAATGGTGCTCCTCCTATAGATGCCATCTTCAAATGTCTGCCACCATCAAATGATTTTCCGCTACTCTGTGGCCTTTCCAAAACTCGGAAGGAGGAAGCCTCCCCAGGCGGGTTGCGCACCTCGTCCAAGGCATGGCCTGAAGATTTCCGTCGTTGAAACCCCTTGGGAAGCTTGATTGGCATGAAGGTGGTTTCGGCGGAACGCGACGGTACCCGAATGGGGGGGACTGTTCAAGGACAAGGTGTCTGACAAGAAGCTTCGAGATATTCGGTCCGCGGCCAGGAGGCAAAGAGGTTTAGCTGTGCAAGACTAGGGACGAAAACATGGAAAGCAGTCCGACAGTGAACGGTAACCTGCATACAGAATGAGGTCAGCAACCAATACCCGGTTGGCCTTGAAGGAGAGAATCAATGGATGCCCTACAACGATGTTTTGTTTTAGGACCTTTTCCCAATTTGCTCTCGTCAGCAAACGGCGACCAGAAGGGACCGATGCCAAAAGTCTGAACTGGTCTGCTGTCACGGGGATAATGATGCTTGTGGCTGGACCAAGTGTTATGTCAGATGGACGAAGTGATATGTTTATTTTTGTACTTGTATAAGCGAAAGAATGCCCGCAGGGGGTGGTTGTGGTTGTGGTAGGGGGAACCGAGGAAATTGAACGGGCGAGGCGTCAACAAAACTCTAGAAGAAGAGCGACGAAAACAGCGATTGAGATATCCAAAAACTGGAGGAGATGGACAGATGCGAAGGATGCAAATGGCGTACTGTTCTGAATGAGAGTGAAGAAATGTGAAAAGGATTGAATCATGGACAGAACAACAAGCGAGCGGCCAGGTTTGGAGAGGCGCAGGCGCAGGTGCATTGGTTACTGCAGAATGCAGGTTCAGACGCAGGTGGTAGGTGGTATTAGTGGGCGTGGGTGGATGGAATGGGCATTTAGCGGGTGCAGGGCACCTGGCCAGCTGGGAGCGAGGGACACAGGTTCAGGCTATTACGAGGACTAGTTTTACTGGGCACCGCCGAGAAACAAGGGAGGCTCAGGTACCCAAGGGGGGTGGGTGATCCAAGTCCTAAAAAACAAGTTGAGGCCAGTAAGACACGGCGGGGGAGACGCGAGGGCCAGGGGACACCGAGGTGGGCCAGCCACCGTTTATTTGGATCGCGCCTTTGGCACCATCGGACACCTGGGCAGCCTTTTCACCGGGCGGCCCATTAGAATTTAGGTGCTACTGGTGCCTATGGCGCCCATTTGCACTCCACCGGTGCCACTCTTTACCCAAAACCTCCCCAACAATAATAATGACAACCGTCAACAGCGTGTGGGTAGATTGACATACAGAACTGCTGCTCGTGAGGCCCGTCATGCATAGCCCACACCTGTCCTTACTTGTACAGGCCGTACACGCCTACCCAGATGAGATGAGGATCTCGTATCGATTGATATTTCATCGAATGATGAATTTGTTGATTGATCTCCCTTACTCAAAAAGTCCAATCCTCCTTGCTCGCTGCCCCCATCTTATTGTTATTGCCTCCTCCATCTCCAAATCCACTCCTGTGTCACTGCCACTCGCAATTTTTCATCTGCGGCGTCTTCCACTAAACTCTGTCTATCCTCAGACCTCCGGATCTCTGTGTGATGTGGCTAGGCCTCTAGCCTCTATTGTTGCATGCAACACCACCTCGACCTGCCACTTTTGTGCGCTTTCGGCCTTTTCATCTCCGCCTCTCCGAGATCTTCGACATGCACGTGTTGCTTCTTTCCACGGTGATAGCCAATGCCCTCGGTCCATGTTGGCCGCCCAGGTCATTTCGCACGCAAAGTGCTCGGGGTACACGTAAAACGCCCAGTTGCGGCTTGGTGTGCTAACCTTTGTCCGCTTTTAAAAAGTCCGCTAGGTTCCTGGAATTCCTCGCGTCTTTCGGCGTCCTTTAGCGCCAGCCTCTTCTGTGGTTTGCCCTTTCACCGCACGGTGTACCAACCAATAACGAGGAGAAACCTTGTTGTCGGATAATAATGTACCAAAAGGAAGAGGTCAAGGTCCTACCGAGCGAGACGGAGTGTAGTCCAAAGCCAGGCGACTCAGAGTCGAGGCGTCATCCTGGTCTGTCCGTCTGCGGCTTGCAGTAGCTTGACCACCTCCGCAAAGGCTTGACAATAATGTTGACGGGCCACCTTCTCGAGAGCTTTGTTAACGTCAAACCCCAGGGAATTGGCCGGTGACAACCTTCTCTTGTGGCTCGTGGTGGGGACATTGCCCCTGGACACATGTTCAAGGCTGGCCGTCACTACGGTTGATCTGGACAGCTTTGTCCTCACCTGCGCTGAGAATGCCAACCTCGTGGTGCCAACACACCCCAAAGACTTTGACACCGTCACCACCCGCAGGATTGGCAGCACCATTCAGGCTCGCTCTTGGCAATATATACAGACTCTGTCCGACAGCACCCTCTTTCTCCTGCTTGGTGCTCCGGACATCCCAAACTCTACATGTCCCATCATGGCTGCCACTGACAATGGTATAGTCGTTGGTAGGATCTCGGGCCAGGCTGACAACTGAATTTTTATGGCCTTTTAGGGTCATGGCCGTGACTGAGGTGGCGGACGTCCGTGGGTCCACCAGCTTAACCACGCGGCTTACTGAACCGGCCGCAATAAGGTGAAGAGAAGGCATATGATCAATGCAGAGCAATGCACTTGATGTAGTCCGAGTGTCAACCAGCGAGGAAGTGACCAAATCCCAGGTACGGACTGTTTGGTCCCAGGATGTTGAATAACCCACTGTGGGATCATGGAGGTCGAACATCGCTCCAGAGACTGGGCCTGTGTGCTGCTGCATCAGCGCAAGCGGCCCACGCTGCGACACTGACACCTCGCTGTTCAATTTCCTCCTCTTGCCATCCTTGGTCCTTGCCTTCGGGACTAGAGCCTCGGGTGCTGCAGGTGCATCTGATTTTCGGGTAGACCAGATCCCAACAGAGTGGTCAGAAGAGGCGGAGAGTATGCGGGAAGAGCCAGCATGGGCGCAAACCGAATCTACCGAGGATTTGTGCCCATAGAGCTCGATCTGGGGCGAGAGGCTGACCGCAGACGCGTTCTCGTCCTCTGTGTATTTCCACAATCTTAAGGTGCGGTCAAAACTCCCCGAGACTGCTTGAGTTGGGGATATGAATTTGGCAGTCTTGACGAAGGATCCGTGACCGCCATGGCTCATACCGGGAGATGTTGCGAGAATCTGAGAGGAGGAATTCCATACTCTTAACAGCCCGTCATAGCTCGCAGTGAGGATTCTCGGAGAGGTGGTGGACACGACGTCAACATCACTGACCCAATCGTCGTGTTCAAAGGACGCCACATATTGGGGGGGAATGCGTGCTCGCACATATTCGATCGAGACTGTGGTCTCTGCGGAGATGCCGTTGCTTGTGAGGTATTCGTCCAAGGTACTTCGAAGATAGGTACCATTGATGATAAATTCCAGGGGAATCGTTTTCTCGGTTTCGAGGAGGTTGTTGACGAGGGTAGAGAGTGTAAGACGGCGGAAAGACGTGGGAACAAGGATGGGAGCTAGGTCCTGAACAGCGAGATCTGTGTCTCGAGTGGTTAGTCTCACCCGAACTTGCGCTTGACTTCCTGAGGCACCGGCGGTGCCGGCGCCTGGTGATGCAGCCATAGTTGAAGCGTTTCGCTATCTGCTCTGGGATGGCGGCGCCAATCTGGCTGCTGGTGATCTGGCGAACTCAAAGGGACGTTTCGTGAAGTCTGGTAATGGAGAAATCAATTTTGCTCCAGCAATGTTTTGCGCAGTGAAAAAATTTCCGGCGGTGCATAGAGACCAAAACTAGCAATTGGGCACGTGCGGGGATACTTGCTCACACCGTTTGATGGATATCCTTCGCCGCTTTTGTAAACAGAGAAGGGACCTACAGTAAATACTCATGTGATTCTTCAAGCGCCAGTAGCTCCTTTGATGATCTCATCATTACCTAGGAGCGGAGGATGAGCTAGAAGTTCTCCAGTATCCAGATAATGTTAATCCTAATATTAGGCTCCTGGGAGAGTACGAGGTACATGCTATATTGGCTAGAGACCAGAGTTCTTGTATACATTAAAAGCGGCGACAATAGTCCCCAATCCGTAGTACCACCTAAACCGCAGCGAATGTGCTGGCCACAACTCTACAGATGACACTTCGCGACTGCTCCTGCCAGCAACATTACGTGCAGAGACATGTCTAATGAACCAGACGCGGCGACATCTTTGTGCGATGCCATAGTCAATGGCAGTATTCCGCAGTCAGAACAACTCCTCACTTCTGACCTTTCCTCTACAATCGTCTCGGCACTTCTTGCGCAGATTTCCCAAACACGGCATGAGATCAGTGAAGAGATCAGAGAAATAAGCAGGGATGGAGCTGGCTCAGTGGATCAATGGATTCTCCAGGCGAAGAAGGTTCAGGAGGACATCGTCCGATGCAAACTCGAGTCGAGACGAATTGTCGAGGAGCACCAGCAACTCCAGGCCCTGAGCGACCGCGCAACAGACTATCAACATAAGGTTGAACTTCTCGACACAGAGATCAACTTCACCGAGACCCTGGGACGGGAGCTGGAGGATATATCACTGACAACGGGATCATTGAGGGAAATCGAGGAGCTTTTAGCCAGGGATGACCCTTGTCGGGCTGCCTCAAAGTTGCGTGACCTGGACAAAAGACTTCCAAGCAATTTCAGGTCCAGGACGACAACCATTTTTCGAGATCTTAGAGACGAACTGCGCCTCAAAGCTCGTATGCAGCTGGACACCAAGCTCAATGCTCAGATTTCCGTTCGAAGGGAGCCGCGGAAAGCAAGCCTCGAGATAGTCCCCGTCGAGCCCGAATCCGACTCAGCGAACTCCGACGACATTCTTCGAGCTCTTAGCGAATTAGGTGATATACAAGACTCTGTCGAACCTCTAACGGACAAGCTTCGAGCACTCCTCGTCCAGCCTCTTCGACGCACGGCCCGATCGAAGCTTGCGACTTACCAGGTGGAGCAACATTCCTTGACAATCGAGTTAAGCCCAACTCTCCCGTCTATAGACTTGGTTCTCGACTTCGTGCTTGACCTTCTTAATTTTCTACAAACTTCTCTCCCGACAACCATACAGATGGCTGTGGTCAGCGCAATCCTTGAGCACCTGATGAGTGTCCTGGTGTCGGACTGGCTCATCGCCGAGCTCCCGGTAGACCTTGCAATGCTGGATAGTCTCGATAAACTGCAACAGAGAGTGACTGTAATCATGGACAAGCTGAAATCACTACAGTGGACAGGGCAAACTCAGCTCCAAGACTGGATGGATGATATCCAGCGTACATGGCTAAACAAGCGCAAGGCAGCCACACTGGATGCTGTGCGGGAAGCATTTGCATCTGCAAAAGGCCATCTCAGGCAGGTTGAGCGGGTCGAGAGACAGGTCATATCAACAGCCACCAAAGAAGCTAAGGCAGTGGCTGATGAGCCCAATGAATGGGACGCTAGTTGGGACGAAGATCCCAAGGACAAATCCTCGACAGAGGAAGCCCCCAAAGCAGGCGAGAATGATGAGGATGATGACACGAGCGGCTGGGGTTTTGACGAGGAGGAGAATAGCGAAGACAAAGCAGACAAACAGAACGGCCATTCGGTGTCGCAGGACGAGGATGATGCAGGAGATGCCTGGGGCTGGGATGATGAGAGTCCTGCTGAGACGAGGTCGGAAGTGACAGATAAACATGCTCTCTCAGAAGCGAATGGAGCACGAGGACCTCAAGAGACCGAGCATGAGGTCACCTTGACGGAGGTCTACAGCATCAGCGAAATCCCCGACCATCTCATCGAAATCATAGGCAGGGATATCTCCGATGCTCAAGCATTCGAAGACACCCAACACCAGAGCCTGGACTCGTCGACAACATCAAAAGGACTCCTATCCTTGCCCACCCTCGCTCTGGCCATGTTTCGCGCCACCGCACCCAGTTATCATGGTGCATCACCAGCTCTGACCGATATCCACCGCTACAACGACTCCCTCTACATTACCGAGCGACTTCGCGACCTCACCCTCCCTGCAGGCATGCCGCACATCGAAGCCGACATCAAAGCCATGGAGAAGTTTGCCAAAATGGCGTACTCCAAAGAGATGGAAACGCAGCGGATCATCGTGTGGGACTTGTTGGACGGGGCACAAGGGTTCACGTCGTGCACGCAGTTCCCTTACTCACAGGAGATCGAGAACGCCATCTCCGCGGTCGTTGATCGCATTCGCACGCTGCACAAGGACTGGAAATCCATCCTCTCGACATCGGCATTGATGCAAAGCATTGGCTCGCTGGTGACGATGGTCATCAACAAAGTGATATCCTCAATCGAAGAGATGGACGACATCTCCGAACCTGAGTCCCGGAGACTCACCGCCTTCTGCCAGCAGATTGCTAGTCTGGAGGACCTCTTCCTCTCGACTCCTCCGTCGGCAACCACTGAAACTCCAGAGCAGCCTCACGAGCCAGTTCCCATGGTAGCTGTCTACGTCTCTAACTGGCTGCGCTTCCAATACCTGATCAACATCTTGGAGAGCTCGCTCGTCGATATCAAATACCTGTGGACCGAGGGAGAGCTGAGTCTGGAATTCAGTGCCGACGAAGTGGTCGATCTAATCAAGGCGCTCTTCGCCGAGAGCCCGCACCGGCGAAGCGCCGTCGCCGCCATCAAAGGTTCTCGGTCGTCCAGATGAGTCCGAGGTGCGGGGAGGACGTTTTTGCTGTGGAGGCCAAAGCTCACCTTTTGAATACACAATCTATACTTTGATAAGAGCGAGAGTGAGCTTGAGAAGGGTGAATGGGAATGGGAAAACTGCGAACGTTAATGCCAATCAGGAGAATCTCGTGGAATTCAATCCGGAGCGGGCTAGACAGCTGCTAGAGGCTACAGTGTAATATAATATACCGACCTTGACGTGATGTATACCAAGTACTGTTTTTTTTTGGTCATTGTTTTTCATGTTTCTTTTTATGACCATTTTCCCCTCTTACCGCGGATACGTGAGAAATAACAGCCGCAGCGCTTCGCCAAAGGTGTGATGTATTATATTTATTCATACATACACGACACTTGCACGTAGATTTAGATGCCCACTGTCCCAGATAGCCGTAAGATAGGTAGGTAGGTCAGTAGGTCAGTAGGCAGTAGCTAAGCAGGTACACATTATATATTCAATACATCGTTGAAAAACCCATTTTAAAATCCGGTGTTGATTCCATATATCATATATACATTAGCGCAGCTCGTCCGAGGCCCCGAAAGAAGAAAAAAGGAACAACGGGGGGAATGTGGCGCGCCTTTCAGCAGAGAAACTTGTATACTCTCTTCCACCGCGGCCATCTCTTGCGGTCGGCCCGCTCCTCCTGTACCAGCACGCGGACATTGAACTCCCTCTTGCCCGTGAAGAGGTCCATGTCCCTTGCTCGCAGAATGTCCGTCTTCATGTAGATCTTGTAGCCGATGTACATCAACACGACGACGGGGGCGGCCAGGTAGGCCTGGAAGAAATTCACGATGCGGTCGGAGATGGACATGTGCTGGTACCCGACGGGGGCGAAGCCGGTCCAGAACTGCGCGATCAGGACGAGGATGTTGAAGGTGAGGCCGACCCAGGACCCGACGATGCCCACGGGGGACCGGAATGCGAGTTCGTCCAGCGAATGGCCCTGTAGAGTCCAGGCGTGGCGGAAGCGGATGTGCGCGAGGCAGATGGAGCTCCAGGTGAAGATGGAGCTGAGGCCCGAGAGCGCGAGCATCCAATTGAACGCGTCCTGCTGCTTCTGTGTCGCCGCCAGGTATGCCAGCAGTCCCAGCACCGAGGCGACGATGATAGCATACAAGGGACGACCCTTGCGGTCAATGTAGGCGAGAAAGGCGGGTGCCTGACATTGTTCTGCCAGAGCAGCAAGGGTGCGCGAGGATCCGTAAATTGAAGAATTCCCGACGGAGAGAACCGAGATCATAATGACAACATTCATGACGGACGGGAGGACTTCGATGCCGGCGTTCTGGATCGAGATGACGAATGGGGAGGCTCTGCGGCTTGGAGTTAGGAAAATGATATAGACCAGAAGATGCTAGAGAGGAGAACTGACTTTGCATCGGCACTGTTCTTGCCATTGAGCAGGCGAGGATCAGTGTATGGCACCAACGTGCCCACAAGAAGCAAGCTGACAACATAGAAGAGTGTAATACGCCAGAATACCTGTTGTTTCAAGTCAGATACCCACAGACGCGCGCACCGAGAGACTTACCTGTTTGATAGCAGTAGGTAACGCTTTCCTTGGGTTTTCAGTCTCTGCCGCAGCGAGACCAACCAGCTCGGTGCCGGCGAAAGCAAATGCTGCTGTCACAAAGGTGCTGCACAGGCCCTTGAAGCCGTTGTGGAACGCTCCTGGATGGTGCCATAGGCGGAAGCCCATGTAACTTGCGTCGGGATTTCCAAGACTGTCGACGCCGCCCATAACATTGATGAGGACTCCCAGAAGACTTGCAGCACGAGTCAGCTGTATGTCAACAAGATGGAGAAGGGAGAGCGTTTACATGTATCCGATCACGGCAGTGACCTTGACAATCGCAAATACAAACTCTGCTTCTCCATACCCTTTCACACCAAAGAAGTTGATCAGAACAATCAATACCAGAAATATTGAAACCCAAGCGGCATTCAGAGAAATATTTTGAACCTGCTCGTTTCCGTCAACCAAATATCGATCGCCGCCCGGCATGACCCATACCCAGTAATCCACAGTAATTGAAGCGCTCACGATCTCCAAGGGTAACACCGTCAACCAATTCAAAGCGTAGTTCCAGCCCATGGCGAAGCCCCAGGCAGGGTCCTGCAGAAAGAATAAAAACGTATCAGTTCTCCGAACAGAGGACGACGAGTGGGACTCTTGTATTCTTCTTACCAGGAATCTCGTAGAGTATGAAGCGAACGACCCGGCGACTGGGAACAGGACGGCCCTGTGAACAAGTCGTTAGCATCAGCAAGCCGTGGGAGAGTCAACGGGGGTCTTTACAGTTCTCCCAGCGCCTGTACTGTGCAGTACAACATGCACCCCGTCAAAGCAAATGACAGCAGCAACGAGGCAGGCCCGCCATATGCCAGCGCTTTCCCGCTGCCCACAAAAAGACCTGTGCCGATGCTCCCGCCTATTGCTATCATTTGTAGATGTCGTCCTTTCAACCGCCTCAACAGTGGCGACATTGCCGTCGCCTGCGCTGCCGCTTCAGCATCGTATCCCTTCCCGCCAGCTGCGCTGAACGATGCCGACCGAGTGACACTTGCGTGGGGATCTCGCCGGAAGGACTCGGTGAGCCGGCGGGTGAATGGGCGTCGCACATTTCCCATGTCGGCCTCATATGCGGAAGGGTTTGACGACGATTCAGGACTCCATGTTTTTTTGTCCTCCATCTTGTGACTGTTCATGCCATCGGTCAGCGGGGAGGAGCCGGCCGGCTTAGAGTCGATTGTCAGGGTGGATAATGTGGACGCTGTTGCTTAGGTCCAAGTCAAAGCTTCAGCTCATGGCAATGGAAATCAATATGTAGAGTCTGGATATCATCGTCGGCAGTCACATAGAGTGTCTTGTGTCCTAAGTGAACCTCATTCGAAATCGGGAGCCAGGTGGTCTGCGCAGGAGCGCATGCTGTGCGCGGAATAAGTGGGCGGTGCTGGGAGTTGGATGTCACACCAGCCAATCGTCTGGGATCAAGAAGAAAGCCACAAGATAAGGCCTGTTGCTAAAGCGAGTGGGCTCAGAAACCCCACCTATAACGCTTATTGTAGATAAGAACCATGTTCTATACAGAAGATAGGAATCATAGAGTGTCTCGAAAATGCAACCAGCAATACAAGTACAGTGGCTATGTAGACTATGTGTGCAGGCAATTCTGCGCTATACAATATTAAGCATCACACAATCATAGCCATCCTTCCCATCATTACGTCGTGAACAGCTAGCAAATACAGCCAGCGGGAGAATATTTCGTCGGTTCATGAGGCGTTGTGGTCTCGTTTCCCGCAGCTCAAGCCAACAACATAGCTGCGAGGAGCCATGATTTTGTAGTCGGAATGTTCATTTGAGACAAGGACTGCCAATTTGACGGCAGGAGACATGACCTGGTCTTGGTGAGGATGTCCCATGTTGTACATCAAGTTGGATCTTTGCCGTCGTTGGGGTTACCTATACTTGACGACATGGACTCGTCTTCGTCTTGGGCCTGAGTATCTATAGATGATGGTTCGATGGCTGATACAGAATCCGGCTCTGATACATCTGGCTTTTTAGGCGTATGGCTTCCGTTCTCGTCGACTTTGACTTCTGCACCGGTCATGTTTTTCACGTCACGCGAGCTCAGCCCTCGGCGTAGAGCTAAGCGTTGTGCAGCCTCACGTTTCTGTTTGATTTCCAGTTCCTCCTCATGAGCCACTTGCTCTTCTTCTCGCCGAAGGTCCATCAAACTTGGGGGTTCAGGCTGCTCCTCGACCACGTCAGAGGATAGCGGCGCTAGATTCTTCTGAGAATCTGATCTGTGAGTGCTCTTGGCACTGGGACTTCTTAACGACTTCGATGAGACGGTGCGAGTTGAATTGCGAGACACCCCGGGTCGCTTGCCTCCCGATGTCTTTGTTTTGCCACTGCTCTGATCTTCAGCGACACCTTGGTTGGTCGTGCGTCGGCTGAGCATGACTGCGAACTCATCGTCAAGAGGCTGCGCATCTTCGTCCTCGTCGCTCATAATCAGGTCGCCCCGCGAACTCAGGGAATTTGTGGTTGACCTGGAAGCGGCAGTACCGCTTCGCTGGCGCCCATGCCCCTTTCGCCACGTACTGTCGTGTTCATCTGTCTCCTCTATCAATGGCTGGCTTTCAACGTCTCGCACTCGGGTGCCCCCTGGGTTTTCCTGCAAGTCTGCGGCTGACGGCTTATAGCGCAGTTTTCTGAAGCCAATTTTCCATGGAAGCCGCTCCAAAAACCCTAGGTATGACGAGCCTGGTATGATGGTGGGATCCTGATCAGCGTCGGGCTGTAGCCCAGAGGGTTTCCGTCGGCCTCGGGAACCATAGCTCATAGCCCTTTGTTTCCGTGGTTGGACGGACTGCGAGCCCCCACCGGCGAGCAAACTATCCAGCTCATCATTGCCCCAGGCCAAGGGACTATCACCAAGCGCCTCATCATCATCCCAAGCATTGTAAAAATCAAAGTTATATTCAGCTCTGCCACGCGACCGGCCTCTTCTTCGTCGGATACTATCATCTCTGTTCGGGAAACAAGGCGCAGTACACGCGCAGAGGCATGATTTCACGCTTTCAAGACAAGGGTCGACGTAACGTTGGGTGAATGTGTATATGTTCTCTTGAGCGGCTTGGTTGGCAGATTCGAAGTTGTGAGAGATATTGTGGAGGGTCTGGCGGAATTCGGGATTGTTCATCCTGACAGCTCAGGAGCGCCGACATTCACGGCGCAGGGAAGGGAGGCAGCGCAGTTGGGCGATGATTGGGCTTGAGAAACATGCGCTGTATCAATGCGTAATGACTTCACAATTGCCATGCTTGTTTCCACGAGCGTCGCATGACAAGACGTCCTATGTAAGGTAATTCAGGAACAGCAAAGACAGTTGTCAGTTTAATTGTCTGGGGACAGACTGGGGGTGGCGGGAAGACAACGGATGACGGGATAAGATATCCCGGAGAAGGTGAGTGGACCAGCTTGACCGCTCGCCGCTTGGCACAACCCACGTGCCCCATGCCTGGCTTGCTGGATCTCGGAGATACTATTTATCCGGAACATGCACTAGTGCGCCTCACTTTTCCCGCTCCACACCGTCCAGCTGATCAACTTCAACTTCTTCATCTTTCATCCTCCCAAATTTCAACCTTGACTGCTTCTTTACTGTATATCTAACGACAGAAGAGCTATGGTTCAATATATTCGCTTTCTGCGCACTCCACAAAGTGACGTGGGAAAAAAGGCTATCGACATCTCCGCAGTCGTAGCCGTCACTACAGACTTGGGTGATGCATTCTTTAGTGAGGACGTCGAACTGCTCGCAGATGTTGTCGAGGCCAACTCTCCCCATGGTGTCCTATACTCTCAGACTATTAAATGGCAGGCTTCAACGCGAGCTCTAAAGTTTGCCGTCCATTGTCCTGGCAAGTATCTTTCTAGACCTGTGCGCCTCCATGTGACTACCAAGGAAACCGAGACTGCCTCTCAAGCATTAGAAATCCCCAAAATCCTGGATGTTTGGAGTTGTGTCTTCCTTCTGTCTGATAAGCAGCGGACGGACCCAATCGTGGAGCGACGAATTGCTTTGTCAAATAGGAGCGTGGTGAGGATGTGGGAGGAAACCGGTGATAGCATTGCGCGGCATATCTGGTAAGAACCTCCTTTCCCCCAAGCCGATACCGCTAAAGGGTGAAGCAGGGATGCAAGTCTAGGTTTTCTTGTCTATTTCGCCCATGCACTGTCTACATCCCCCATCGATGGAATGTCACTGTTAGTGTCCCTGTTCAAGTCCAGCAAGGTAAGACGACTTAGAGTGCTGGAGCTTGGTGCGGGTTGCGGCATAGTAGGACTTGCTTTGGCACAGCTTGTCAAATGCGACCTTCTCCTTACCGACCTGGAGGACGCTCAGGAGATTTTGGCGAGCAATATCCGATGCGCTGCGCCCGTGGCAGGATCTACAGTTCGGTCGGAAGTGTTGGACTGGGCCTCGAGCCTTGATGATAGCTCCAATGCCAATTACGATCTCATTTTGGTTTCCGATTGCATCTACAACCCAGACAGCAGTCTGCACTTGGTAGAGACCTTGAGGCAACTGGCCACTCGTACACCCGAAACCGTCATACTGGTTGGATTCAAGCGACGACACACAGAGGATGATTTGTTCTTCGCACGGATGCGCACTGCAAACTTCGACATCCTCGAAACCCTCAAGATTCCGCTCCCCTATATTGACACCGACCAAGACGTGGATCGACCAACCGCCGAGTTCTTTACCTATAAGATGGGCACTCGGCCACAGAACGACTCCTAAGACCACACACCAGCGTTATCGAGAAATAGAGCACATGCTGCACATGCTGTCTCATATCTACCGGGTGTCCCCTCAATGGCGGTGAAATATCCCATCTCTCGGAACAACACCGGCGATCCGGGGGGAGTCACGTGCTCGTGGCCCTGAAAATCCCGCACAACGGATACGAAAAAAATCAATCAAGATGAAAATCAGCTGCGGGAAACGGGAACGGAGGAACCATCCAACGCCCAAGCACCAGCAAATGACCAATACGCTACTGGCAGACAACGCAACTAGCTGAATCACCGATCCCTTGTCCCTGGCGCGTCCGTGGCTACGAAAGGTTGAGGTCACTCCCTCCCTTGCTGGGATCTGACTTTTTTCCTGCTGGGCTTCCCACAGTGACTCCCTTGGTGTATCCACACTTTGCCCCCCACCACCGTGTCGTTGTCGCTCCTCTGCAGCAAAAAATAAAAGCAGAATTGCACCGAAATCATCAACCTTTTCACCATTTTGCCTTTCTTCACTACTTCCTCACCTTCTTCACCGCAACATTCCACAGCTTACCACGACACTCTTGATTGGAAATTTCTTGGATCTGCCTTTGGGACCACCAAAGGCACCTCATTCACGGCTTCGACATCGTTTGCTCTCCGTTATCAAGGTGCATCTACATACAGACATCGTCACATCGTTAATCAGCCTCGCCCGCCTCCTGCTGAAGCCTCAAGCCTCAACGCCTGCTCTGTGCTTTCACCTTGACATCCCAGACCTGCTTTTCCCCCAATTTCAGCTGCCGCATAGGTCGCCACTCGAGGTTCTTCCTCCTCGTGAGGGAGAGTCGCTGAGGCACAGCCAAATTCCTAGAGGATCCGAATCCCGCAAACCTCCCTAACACTTATTGGGGAACATCTTATCACTCAAATTCCTAACATAGCCATTTTGCATGGTTATGGCACCTTCTGCTATCGCCATTGAAGAAACCAATACGACAGTTCTGACTGACAACCAAATCGACAAGGTCGATTTTGTCGAAACTAATCATGGCGTTGAATCCGATGTGACTGGTCTGGCCTCCAAGGCGCTGATCCAGAAAGTCCTCAAGGAGCAGATTGCTCGTATCGATGTTGACACCTGCGAGCCCGGCGAGGAAGATGCATTTTATGTGGCGGATCTGGGGGAAGTGTACCGTCAACATCTACGCTGGAAATTGAACCTGGGCCGAGTCAAGCCCTTCTATGGTGGGTTTTGACCCACTGTGTTCCATCTCCTGCATGTGCTCACAACTGTTACAGCGGTCAAATGCAACCCGGACAAGGAAGTGCTCCGCCTCCTGGCCAAATTGGGCACTGGATTCGATTGTGCGTCTAGGGCCGAGATCGACCTGGTATTGGGGCTTGGCGTTTGTCCGAGTCGCATCATCTATGCTCAACCGTGCAAGACCAAATCGTACTTGAGACACGCTCGCAAGGCTGGCGTCAGCTTGATGACCTTTGACAATACCGACGAGCTGCACAAGATCAAAGAGTGCTATCCCGACGCTGAGCTGGTGCTCCGAATCTTGACGGATGACTCAGCAAGTGCTTGCCGGCTCAGCACAAAGTACGGGGCCAGTCTGGAGTACGTCGAGGAGCTGCTCTGTCTCGCCAAGGCACTGGACCTCAATCTGGTCGGCGTCAGCTTCCACATAGGCTCCGGAGCGAGCGATCCGAACTCTTTCGACAAGGCGGTTAGAGACGCACGCCACGTGTTCGACCAAGCGGCCCTGCTGGGATACGATTTCAAGCTGTTGGACGTCGGAGGCGGCTTCGTCGACGAGACATTCGAAACCTTTGCGGGTAATCTCCACGAGGCGCTCGAGGAATACTTTCCGGCCAATGTCCGTGTGATTGGCGAGCCTGGCCGCTATTATGCCTCCAATGCCTTCACGCTCGCCACGAACGTCATAGCGAGACGCGAAGTCGCGGTCAATCACGAAGGTGGGAAAGGGTACATGCTCTACCTCAACGACGGCGTCTACGGCAACTTTTCCAACATCATCTTCGATCACCAGCACCCCGTCCCGCAGGTTTTGTCCGTCGCACCCGGCCGCGGCCAGGAGATGATCGAGTACTCCATCTGGGGCCCTACCTGCGATGGCATCGACGTGATCACCGACCGCTATTTCTTGCCTGGCGTGGTCGAGATCGGCGACTGGTTGTACTTTGAGAACATGGGCGCGTACACCCGGTGCTCGGCTACCAAGTTCAACGGATTTAGTGATGACCACGAGGTCATTTACATTTCCAGCGAGCCCGGTGCCTCGGCCTTACTCGGATATTGAGCGTGCCAGGTTTCTCTCCGACAAACTTGGCAGAATCAGTATGCAGAGAGGCGGGGGGGTTACCTCTTGAAAGGTGCAAAGTGTGGTTGCAACCTGCGGCAACATGTTGAAGCTGTCTACACTGCAACAAAGCCTCACTCAAGTGTGTGTGGCTCGAAATTTTCCTTATTCGTTATCGCACTCTCCTTTATCGCCCAACCGGGCCCGATAGATCAGATACTTAGATAGAAGATGTCTTCACCCTTACCAGGAAACAAACACATAGGGGCTCAAGTTCCATCACCATTCAAACAATTTACTCATAAAGAACCTCAGCCTCGCTACATACAAGCCACGCGCTTCTTTGCTATGGGGTACGATCAACGTATACGTACTTGTAGGCTGCCTGCCTGGCCGGTCCCGCTAGCTAGCTAGCGAGCGAGCGAGCATCATCTTGATCGAGTCATGACCGCATCTGGTAACTCTTGTAAGACAGACGGGGAAGACATCTATACCCGTGGTGCTGGTCCACCTCCATACCTATATACGTACGCACTAACTAGTACCAGAACCAGCACCGGCACTTGCACGATACGGCCGAAATGTCCTTTGCTCCTGCCATGCTGCCCTTTGAGAGTTGAAAAGTCTCCGAGTTTTCGTATTTTTTGACTTTATATGGCTGTGAGTGAGCCGCTACGCTACGCGAATGGCAGCTAGGAAATTAATTGCTGGTGCCTGGACATGATATGATGTACCTACCCGAGCACCGAGCAGCCTCCAAACTCCAACTTCTAACTTGGTAGCGACAGAGTAGGTACACAAGTACAGTGGAGATCCAATAGTGCCTAGTAGTTGTAAAAACAACGTTTGACAGAGAGACAAAGTTGGCGAGAGATTGATATAAAGAGTATCTTGCTGCTCCTGTTTTATCCCATAGAGACGCATTCTCTCTCGCTTCGTTCGTATCGCAAACATGACTTTTCACCCTGATTCTCTTCCAGACTTGACCGGCAAAGTCTACATTGTCACAGGTGGGAATTCTGGCATGTAAGTCCTCATGTCTCTTCTCTATCGTGACACCTGCTACAGAGCAGAGATCTAAACGCTTCGCAACAGAGGATATCACACTGTTTTTCGCCTCGCACAGCATGGCGCCCATGTATACATGTGCGCGCGATCTCCTACGAAAGGAGCAAACGCCATTGCTAGCATCAAATCTTTGTATCCCCAGGCTCACATAACGCTGCTTGAGATGGACCACCTAAAGTTATTTCTTTCCAAAGAAAGCGCACTGCATGGATTGGTCAACAACGCTGGAATCATGGCCACACCCTTTGAAATGACACAAGACGGACACGAAGCGCAATGGCAGACAAACTACCTTGCACACTGGGTCTTCACCTCCCACCTTCTGCCTTTGCTGCTGAGTACTTCCAAGACTCTTCCACCAGGCAGTGTGCGGGTCGTGAACTTGTCATCGTCCGGTCACAATTCAGCGCCTACAGGTGGGATCAACTTTGCCGACACCTCTCTCAAAAGCGGCGGTAGCGGCATGGGCCGTTATGGTCAATCGAAGCTCGCCAACATCCTCCATGTCAAGACCCTCAACGAGCATTACGGCCCGGGTTCGTCGAATGCCAAAGATGGAAACGGGGAGATTTGGGCGACCGCTGTTCACCCTGGACTGGTAAAGAGTAACCTGGGAGAGCATGCTGAACTCCCCTTCATCTTTAAAATGATAATCTTGCCATACATGGCGCTTGGTGGAGGAATGGACGGTGACAAGGGATCGTGGACGAGTGTCTTTTGCGCGGCCAGCCCCGAGATGAAGGCCGAGCAGAGTGGTGCTTATTTCCAGAGAATTGCGGATCCCAATGGCTGGCAGAGTGCCATGGCCCAAGATAAGCGGCTTGCTGCGAGGCTGGAGGAATGGACGAGCGCAGAAATGAAGAAAGAGGGATGGATTAGTTGAGTCTGCGCCGTCGGTTGTACATGCGGGATGGGAAAGCCAGCTGGCCAGGCACAACAGGCTATGTCCAAACAAGTTGGCCCACCTCCCACCGTACTCCAGGTGCCTGTGACGTCAATTGCCAATGTTGTTATCGATAAGGACAAGGAGGGACGGGCAGCGATCGCAGTCTGCAATGCCGACGAAATACAAACCACGAGAAAAAAGTCGTCGGCTCTTTCACACAACTCTAATAATATATCACCACCGTTGGAATATCAGTACCCTTGACCTTGATCCAACCTTCAATATTTCCTCCTGTGACATCTTAAGTTGCCTTGTGGGCCGCGTCTATTGACACACACGTCCTCCTCTTTTCCTACGGGCCACTCCCCAACACTTCTTCACATCCCTGCAACAATGGCACCCACTCCGGTCACCATCATTACAGGGTTTCTAGGTGCGGGAAAGACAACTTTGATCTTGAACCTCATACCGCAACTCCCAAAGAATTATAAAGTAAGCGTCAAAGAATGAGCACTGAGGCGTCGACCGATATGATCATTTGCTCGCGCGGGGTCCAAGTTCTAACTGAAGAGCACAGCTTGCCCTGTTAAAAAACGAGTTCGGTGACGTCGCTGTCGACTCCCAACTAGCAGGATCGGCCTCCATCTCGGGTGTCCGGGAACTCTTGAATGGGTGCATATGCTGTAATCTCGTTGGTCAATTGAGCGATGCTCTTTTCCAGCTCAAGGACTCAGTCGCACCCAGTAGAATCATCATCGAAACCTCCGGATCCGCCTTTCCCGCTACGCTTGCTATGGAAGTTAACCGTGTATCGCGAGAGCACCCGGGCTCATTCAACCTCGACGGCGTCATCAGTGTCATTGACGTCGAGAACTGGAAGGGCTACGACGACACCAGCTACACGGCCAAGATGCAGGCCAAATACACCGATCTGATCGTTTTCAACAAGTGGGAGCTCGTCGATGAGCGCATGTTTGAAGATGCCCTGGACCGTGTCGGCGATCTAGACGTCCAAGTCGCTTGGGTCAAGAGTCAAAAGGGCTGGGTTGATGTTGAAGTCATCATGGGTATCGACGGAGCAATGGTTCGCGACGAAGGGTTAAGAGGAGCGATCGAGTTCAACGAAGAACACGCTCACGGAGATCACCACCACCATCACCAAGAAGAAGTCGAGGTTCTGAGTGTTGTGGTGACGAATGAGGACATGACCAAACCACCTCAGGGTGTTGTCCTTGAGTCCTTCGAGGACCTGCTGCTTTCTGCCCCTAAAGACGAAGTCTATCGCATCAAAGGGCTTGTGCTTTCCTCAAAACCACCACCTGATTCTACAGGCGATCGAAAACCCAGCATCGCAGTCGACTCAGAGGGCCAAAGTCTGTATGTCTTGAATTGGGCATTTGGCCGGTGGACATACACGCCCCTTCCCAGCGCGGCCTTTAAGGCCATGGAAAAGGCCAGTGCTCGGTTGACCTTCATTCTTGCCAGAGGGGAGGCGAGCAAGTGGACCCGACGACTTCAAAAAGGAGACTTTATCGCCCTCGAGGGAGAGGAAGGGAAGGAAGAGAAGGGCGTCCTGAAAATTGACAAGATAGGGTGATTGAATGAGAAGTTGGCCCGACTTTCGCAGGAGTACAGCCGCCACACACACCGCAGCTGCTGGGCTGTGCCACAATATGAAATGAGCCCATCTAACAGCACGAGCAAGCATTCTGAGCGACGGGGAAAGCACAGCACTCTGCAATACCCGGCCTCGGATCCTATCGCCCTGCTGTCGGGTCAGGTCTTACAGAATGGCTTTGGGTTTTCAGCCAGATGACCCTGGCCGAAGTATTCCTAGCAACACCACCAGCCAATGGCAGATGCTAGAGTCACAATTCTCTTCCAACGAACATCTTGCGGCGCCAGAGCAAGGGAATTTTCTTCGGTCAATTGGCTGATATTCGATGTGTCCACTGTGCCGCTCCAGACCTGTCCATGACCCTCAGAGACCTGTCAAGCTGCAACCGCGGTGAGAGACACTTCTAAACAGGGCCTCGGTCTACTCGGGCTGCTATGAATCGTCGTGCAGCTCGCCCCAAGGATACGACATCTCCGGCCTCCCCGGCCTCCTCTGCACCTTTCTAAAGGTGAACTATACGACGGGATTGGGATTGGCCATTAGCCTTGATTCTACGTGTGAAAACACATCCCACTTGATTTGGAACCCAACTGTGAGCCCTTACCAAGCTGGGAAGGCATGATCTATGCGAATTGATTTTTTCCAACTCTGCCAGGTATCTCAGGATATCTCAGCGTCTCGGCTCGTTGCTCTAGCTTGGATGAGCGCCGCATCGCTGGCACTTTCTGTGTGTCAACTCTGAAAAGAGCCGCGTGCTGGTTTTGTAGTCTCAAAGACACAGGTCCATCAGCGCGGCTGTTCGGCTTCGCAACTCCTGATCTGACACTTGTACCAAGTTTCCACCTCTTGACTGTTGCCCGGTTTTATCCGCTGCAAACGATCTCCCGATACATCTGGGCGAGGTGCTGAGCTTGGGTCTGCGAACATCAAACGGAGGTCATGGTTCTTCGATAGTCTGCAGATGGATCGAGGCTGGCAGCCTGTGCTTTCCGAATCGCTAGGTTCATTAAGGATGACTGTGGTTGCTGTCCATCTTGCGGTGGATCGGTGACCATATCTTGGGTCAATTCACGGCCGTCAATAACTCCAATGGCGTGGCTCATTCTCTACAAAAAGATCGTTCACATCATGAAGACTGGGATTCTCAACCTTGCAGTGCGAGACCGAGCGCGAGTTGACACACTGGCCCTCAGTGCAGTTGCACGCAGTCACTCGTAAAGTGGTATATTGCTGAGTTGTTTTGAATACGAACATGCAGTTGAAGATGCTGGGCACTTTGGCGCACATTGTCAAACACGTGACCGGGGACGAGATACTGCGGGTCACGTGGCTGGCTCAGAAATCGAGGTCTCTTCGTCGTCAACCAAAGGGGTAGGTCGAGAGGGCAAGCAAATAGGTTCATCGAGTGGTTACTAGGGGCTGTTCACGCAGGTGCCCAATTTCTTCTGGAATTGATGGTCATCAAGATGGTCAATCCGCTGTCATCTCTGGTACACCGTCTCGGAAGTAACAAACTATGTACATGTACACTCACAACAAATCGACTTTACCACTGTTGCATTCATCCATGTCCTCCGGGATCACAGCAAGGCCTTCACCTCGCCCTGCCCATCCAGCTCCATGAAGCGGACGACCTGGCCGAGATGGTCGAATCCCCAGAAGCCCTCGACCTGACCTTTAGCATTCTCGCACTGAAACCACGGCAGGCCGAAGGCGCCGTCGTTGAAAGCCTGGTCCGTGTTCGCGATCAACTGCTTCTTGACCTCGGGCGCGCCCATACGGGCCATGTGTCGAGCGACGACGTCCTGGCCGAGCACGGGTGTCAGCACGCGCGAAAAGGTATTCGGCTCGTCGATGTCGCCCTGTGTCGGGTCCGTCCACAGCGCCGCGTACAGCGTATCCAGAGCGCGGACGAAGGTGTCCTGTTGTTTCTGACCCGTCGCCTTGTCGTTATCCTCCATCCACACGCTGGTCAGGAACCGCTGCAGCTGGATCGTCGGCTTGGGGAACCCGGCGGGAAGCTTCTCGGCCATGGGGATGTGGAACTGGCGGCCCCAGCGCAGCCGCTCGACGTTGATCCAGCGGTCCTTGTTGCGGATCTCGATGGGCGTCTTGTTGCCGCACTGCTTCATCAGCCCGCCCAGCAGGATGGGGATGTATGTGATTTGCACGTTGTGGAAGATGGAGGAATGCTATTAGATGTTTGACGGTGGGTTTAGCACATTGATAACCAAAGCATTTCGGGCAGAGGTTGTTGAACCCTCCCCATCTTCGCCTGTCGGTGCGGCCATGTAGAGCCATCTACAAAGATAGAACTCGACCAGGTGAAAGTGTCACACAGAGACAGAACGTACCCGTAGGAAATAGTATCCCAAGTATGCAAAGGGACTGACAATGTCGACATAGAGGGTGATTTTCCCCTTCGTTCCGCCAACCATTTTGCCGCCTTTGGTTTCGCGCCGCGCCGACTCTTCTCTTTTGTTGTGTTATATTACGTGTGGGTATTGATCGGAGACGGGGTGGAGTGAGTGTGTTTATGTTGACTGGATTGGGGTGGCGAGAGAGAAATGGGAAGTGACGCGGTGTTGTGTGGAAGAAATGAAGTACATATGGAGCACTACATCATGTTCCCCATCATCTTGGATGACAACTATCAAATAAATAACACGGTCAAATCGCACTTCTTTCCCCATCTCCCCCACAATTGACTACTTTTCGTCGTACTCGTATCTCCATCTCCATCTCCTTCGCGAAACGCTGTGCAGGAGCCGAGGTCCAATGGCGATATTTCCGAAGAACCACCAGGGGAACCCGTTTCCCTGTTCAGAGCGCGCAGTTCGCTAGATCGACCGACAATCTGCCTGTGCGAGGTAAATATCTCCGAGTGCCGAATGCCTATGTATGGTTGGATGAGTCTGTGATATTGACTGTTCTCAGCCTTGTATGCTCGGCTATCGCCATGCCCCTACTTATACTTACGGGGAGCAGATATAAGCTCAAGCCTTGTGCCTTTGCAGCCTTCAGCCACCGCAGGGTCTCAGTTGCCCAATCCGAAAAAAAGGTCTGCGGCGACTAGCGAGAAAGCAAAGTTCCCTCTTTGTTGGTGCCCAGGCATTGGTCGGTTGTGTTGGCAATGCAATTTTCAAGATCGACCTACTCGATACACAGCCACGTTTCGCCCAGACGGTTGCCTTTTGCTCAGCCTCGATGTGGTCAAAGCGAGGCTGGATCTACTTTTCAATGGCGGTTTGTCCTCTTGCCCGTGTCCTCTTATCGTCACTGCTCCTACTCTGTCACTGGTACATGCACCTCACATAGCACATGTCACCTAGGGAGGGACATTGAAGAACACAGACGATACGCCGCTTCAGAAGGCGGCATAAACCATGTGTGACACGGCACCACGTCCGCCTCCATTCGAATACGAGCCACTCGATCCACAGGTCTCGGGGAAATGTATACGGTTGCTTCACCCCCTGCCCCTCTCTGACGATGGGGTTATACGGTGTACCCTTGAGAACAATGTCTCTATAGCTGAACAACCTGTGCCACCTTACACCTGTCTCTCGTACGAGTGGGGGGATGATGTGGACCACACGCACTGGATCGAGGTCAACGGCAAGTGTCTCGAGGTCTCGCGCAACTTGTTCGACTTCTTGAAAAGCCTCCTCCAGCAACAAAACGGGACTGGTCTGCAGGGTTTGTGGATCGACGCCATTGCCATCAATCAGAAGGACCAGAAGGAGAAGAGTGTGCAGGTCGACCAAATGCACGATATATTTCGACAGGCCTCAGAAGTGCTTTCCTGGCTGGGTCCAGCGGCACATGACAGCGACGAGCTCTTTCATTTCCTGGAGAGTTTGGATATTCCTGTCCCAGAAGGAGCCTCTGACGCCGATACGACCAGGTCGCTCGAACGCAAAATGTGGTACGAGCTTCAGCACCGATTCTTCGACGCTGGACATCGGATTCACCGTGCGGCGAACCATCTCTGCAACCGCACGTACTGGGGGAGGATGTGGATTGTCCAAGAGATGCTCCTTGCCCGGAGACTCCATCTGGTCTGTGGCTCCAAGCGGACACGTTGGCTACGGTTCGCCATTGTTCTCGAAGCCCTGCTGAGCAAACAAATCATGTTCAAACATCTGCTATGGATCTCGCGACGTTCTCCAGTCGAACCAATCCTTCAACACTGGCTTCGCGGCTGTGACGGGGCCGAACCAGAGGACATCCAAACCCTCTTCACCACATTTGCAACCTTTCACTGTTCCGAGCCTCGCGACAAGGTGTATGCGTTGCGAAGCCTGAGCTGCGATTCGAATCTGATCGAGGTCAACTACGAATCCCCAATCGAGGACGTCCTGCTCCAAGTACTCCGAGTCTTCCGTCGACAGATGCTGTACGTTGAATTTGCTGCCGTGTGTGAAATGTTTCGCGTAAATCTCTGGCGTTTGTTTCCGCTTTTCGACGAAGGGCAACCGCATCCCAGTCGCGGTGCGAACAAAGGTCCCATGCAATCAGTGGCCGGGTTAATTCAGGATACCTCTGACTCTGCAGTCCCCCCCAAGTTCTCGGTTGATCTTGGAACCATCAAATTTGGGGGTTCCCGATACCAGGGCGGTGTCGTTTATTCGTGGACCAACTTGATCGAGTTGTCGCGGAATGGCCGGCTCAAACAGTGCAACTGTGCCCCATGCCAAAAGGGCTGGCAAGCGATCAGGTTCAGCTCGTCATCAGGGGGAGCCGAGTCTATCGACCCATCCCTACAATTGAATTGCGAGACAGATAGGTTCGACATCGCGCAAAGCACGGGAGTAATACTCTTCTATCAGCAACGCGGCAGTGGCCAGGAACGTTACCTGGCGCCCTTTGCCACCGGCATCATGCTGCGAAAAGTCAAGAATACCTTCTCTGTCCTCTCAAGATGGAACTATGATTTCATATTCGACAGCGATCCTGGGTCGCTGTATGTCCTGTTGTATCACGACCCGGAGGTGCGCAAACTGAACTACGAAAAGTCTCTCCCATACACGAGGTCTGTCTCATATACCATGTCACAGCTTTGGAATTTTGTTTCGCACCGAAGTCCTGGATTTAGCTCTGGCCTCGACAAGGACATTGGCCTATCCGCACTGGATGAAGTCGAGGGACTCCCCAATGTGTCGATCCAAGGGACCATGGCCAACTGGAGGTGACCTTACCATATATATACACGAGGTACTCGGTAAACTGTTCCACCTGAACTAGGATTTATTACCTACGCCTCTTGAGATGATCGAGTCCAGCCGAAACTCTCCCTCCTTTCCTCTCTGCCGAGAGACATTTTGGGTCGAGCCGAGCAGCGCCACCAAAGGTCCGGACGAGCCTGGAGCCAGAGCCACGACCCGATCGGCTGAAGCTAAAGGGGATTAACTTTGCGTCCAGCACCGCCATCAAATTTGAACGGGCGCCTTTAAATGGCTGGCTGAAAAAACGGCCCAGAACAGTTCTCGACACTCCCTTTTGGGGGTTGAGTGAAACATTCTCCTGCTTGTACCGATTACAAGCGACAAACACAATGTCCCCGTTCGCTTGCCTGGCACATCACAGGCCACGCGAAAGGATCCACCACGTTCGCTTATATTCGTAAATCGCTAGTTCGAGATATGGAGGCTCCGCAGGGTGAGTGGATTTTGTGGAAGCCCCGAAAAGGTCTCCTTCAAAAGGGAGAGGCATCGAATATACAGTCGTTGTTCGACCTCGTTGAGTCAACTTGCTCTCTCCCATTGCTGCTAGAAGAAAAGTTGGCAACATGGAGACGTCAAAGCAGGGCGACAATGTCGTCGTCGTCGAATCTACCGAACTGCCCTCCTCGTCACATTCGCAGCAACCAATCAACCCAGAAAAGCAGGCCGAAATCCCGATCCCCGTTGCCTCGTCATGGCCCAAAGAACCAGTGCCCCTTGTACCCGACACCAAAAACCGACTGTTTATGGGCCTGTACGATGGCGTCCTCCTGGCCGTGCCGCTGATATTGGTCGCCAAAATCGGTCTGGTGATTGGGGCGTGGAAACTGGACCGACGACACCGTGGTGACGAGGTCGACCTGGTCAGTGGACTGACGACGTTCCTGATCGAGTTCAACGGCCAAATGACGACGGCGTTTACTATTGTCTTTGTCACCATCATCTCGACCCTGGTGCGGCGGTACGCGCTGTGGAAAGCGCAGACGGGGGCACGCATCGCAGATCTCGAACAGCTCCAGGGCAGCATCAGCCTGCCGAGCACAATCAAGCTGATCTGGTCGCTGCGCGCTTTCACCACCATGAGTGCCGCCCTGGTCGCCATCTGGTCCTTCTACTACCTGGGCAGTCAGGCCAGCAAGCAGGAATTCCAGCGCGTTGACTCGAAGCCTTACCACAAGATGACTGGGTACACGGCCAGCACGGGCCCGCTGTCGGGCTTCAGTCCTAATTACGACAACACCTATCTCGCCTTCAACATTGACGATCTAAACGCCGCTCTGATCACCGCCGTGGGTTTCACCAAATCAGATTACAGCGCCGCCACCGCGATACCCGAGGGCACTGACTCGATCGGGTCGGCCGTGTTGCCCGACCTCAACGCCATCCTGGACCAGGGCTTTTGGGTCAACAATGTCGGCTACGTGGCCCCTCATCCCGGGCGCCACGGCTGGGTCGATGTCGCGCACCAGTCCCAGCTCAAGATGAATGACGACTACTCGGCCTTTGTCGGGCGGGCGACATATTTCCAGCTGCTCAGCGACGGCTACGGGCCGATTGCCATCCAGATCAACGAGTTCTTGGGCGAGTACACCCTGCCGACAAGCTACATGGCTGTGAACTGCGGCCGGCCGACTATCCTCCCGTACAGCTCGTTCCCCAGTGGCACGTTCATGAACCAATCCGTGAGCTTCAACATGACGCAGCCCCGAGCGGACGCCCCGCGTGACACCCAGGGCCACCCGCTCCGCGAATTCGCATTGTCGACGCGCTGGATCCCGAACAATGACCACGGCATCGTCGAGCGCGGCAGCTCGCGGCAGACATGCAACATCACGACCGTCAACGTCGAGCTCAAAGTCCACTGCGGCGTGACGGGCTGTTTCCCCAAAAAGATGCGGTACGCGGCGAAGCACGCCAACCGACAGAACGCGACGTCGTTCGCCACGCCGTTCGACGACGACGTTTTTGCCGAGCGGTTCTTCAGCGCCCTCCTCCTCTCGCGTGGCGGGCAGGTCAACGTCTCGACGCCCACGGACGTCGGGGCGAGCCTGACGCTGGGGGTGGCGAACTTTCTCGGCGCGCCGCTCGACACGCTGGGTGTCGCTGAGGGGCAGGACAACTATGACGCGTTCCTCAACTCGCAGCTGCGCGGCCTCTCGCTGCCCCTCACGCAGTACTTCAACACGTACTACATGCTCTCGCAGGCCGTGACGGGGGTGACGCCGACCTTTTCGCCCGACGACACAGCGTTCCAACCCGTCCGGATCGACGGCGCCCTATACGACCCGCACTACGCGATCCGGTGGCCGTGGATCGGCGTCGACTTTGCCGCGTGCACGATTTTGCTGCTCGCCTCGCTGGCCGCATGCTGGCTACGCGCGCACACCCTCGCGCCCGACATCTTTGGCTACGTGTCCTCCCTGACGCGGGACAACCCGCACGTCGCGCTGCCGGACAATGGCACCACGCTCAACGGGCTCGAGCGCGCCCGCTTGCTGCGCAACGTGCGCGTCAAGATCGGCGACGTGTCGCCACCCGACGAGCCCTCCGGCAGGGTCGGCCTCGCGCAGGTGCACGGCCAGCCCGTCGCGAATCTCAAGCCCACCGTGGCGTATGTTTGATGACTTGTTTTTATATATATCTCGTTGAAATATTTCATTTTCATATAAGAAATGTACGCATGTAGAAATGGGAGATAAAACTCTCTTCTTCTCCTTCTTCTTCTTCTTCTCCTTCTTCTCCTCCTCCTCCTCCTCCTCCTC